TGTAGGCATTTTGTTTGCGAAACACATTGTTCTATCACAGGTAACAGTTTCTGAGATAGAACTGGGGCGTATACAGGTGGTGCAGGCTACAATAAAAGAAACACCTTTTGTGTTTGTTAATGTGTACGCTTACACCTTTGCTGGTAGTCGGATCAGCCTCTTACAAAAACTTAATGAAGCATTAAAACAGTTTAGCAGCAGCTCGGTTGTAGTGGTGGGAGGAGACTGGAACTGCACTACCAATTATTCAATGGACAGGAATGGGAGAGAGCCCAACTTATCATCAGCTTCTTTATTAGCAAAAATCATTAAAGAGAACAGTTTGGTAGATGTTTGGAGGACAATCCATCCAAATACCAGACAGTATACCTGGGTAAAAGTCACTGAGGGCCGGGTTAGTGCAGCCAGACTGGACAGGATTTATGTCAGTAACACATGCAGCAATAGGCTGACTGAAGCCATGATATCACCAGTTGGTTTTTCAGACCATCATTTATTAACTGTTCATTTTTCTTTAATGGTGCCTCCTCAAAGATCTCCCTATTGGCATTTTAACGTAAGACTAATCCATGATAAAACTTTCTGTCAGTCTTTCACCGATTTCTGGGGTGAATGGAGAAACAGAAAGTTGGGGTTTGAAAGCATAGGTCAATGGTGGGAGGTGGGGAAAACACAGATCAGAATTTTTTGTCAACAATACACATCGCACACAGAAGCAATAGTAAGGGATCAGGTTGAGTTACTGGAAAGGGAACTTCATGTATTGGAAGAAGACATAACTAATGGGGTGGACATAAATAATGATGATAATAAGACTTGGGAGAAGAAGAGGGCATCATTAAGCAGGTTTTTACATGAAAAAGCTAAAGGAGCTTTAATAAAATCTAGAATACTATCTATTAAAGACATAGATTCACCTACTAGATTCTTTTTTAAGTTGGAAAGAAAGGTCAGGCAACATAATCAGATGATGCACCTTAAGAGCTCCAATGGGTCGGTGACCAGGGACCCATCTGAGATGAGGAGGCTGGCCATAGATTTCTACAGCAACTTGTTTAAAGCGGATGAGTGTGACCCAGATCGTGTGGAGGAGATACTGGAGGGACTCCCTCGTTTAGGGGAGGCGTCGGCAGCCTTCCTGGAGTCCAAGGTGCAGTTTGAAGAGCTGTCTACAGCGGTGAGCCAGCTCAGCTGTGGGCGGGCGCCTGGTGTCGATGGGCTTCCAGCGGAATTTTATAAGACATTCTGGAACCTAATTGGAAACGATCTAATGGACGTTTTCGGAGGATGCTTGGACTCCGGGACGTTACCAACGAGCTGTAGGAGGGCAGTACTGACGTTACTGCCAAAGAAAGGAGATTTGGGACTACTACAGAACTGGCGACCGGTATCACTACTCTGCACTGACTATAAAATTCTAGCCAAAGTACTGGCGAATAGACTTAAAAAATATTTGGACTCAATTGTAGACGACAGCCAGACATACTGTGTCCCTGATAGGACAATAATGGACAATTTGTTTTTACTCAGAGACATCATAGATCTGTCAAAATTCCAGGAATTAGATATAGGCCTGCTTTCTCTGGACCAAGAAAAGGCATTTGATAGAGTTGATCACAAATACTTGTTTAAAACACTTAAAGCTTTTGGTTTTGGTAATTTTTTTATTTCATGTATTGAGTTGTTGTATTCAAGGATCACTGTATTATTGAAGGTAGGAGGGGGACTTAGCAGACCGGTTTCTGTACAGAGAGGGATCAGGCAGGGATGTCCTCTTTCTGGGATGCTCTATGCTTTGGCTATTGAGCCCTTATTGCATCACCTCAGGAATAATATATCAGGTTTAAAATTAGCAGACAAAACAAATGCTTCGGTTAGGTTGTCAGCATATGCTGATGACGTCACAGTTTTTATAGGTTGCCAAAAAGATGTTAGGACTCTGGAACAAAAGCTAAAACTATACGAGCAAGCTTCTTCAGCAAAGGTTAACTGGTCGAAGTGTGAGGGTCTCTTACTGGGAGAGTGGAACAATAAAGTGAGACCGACCTTACCAGCCGGGCTGCAGTGGAGCACAGAGGGGATGAAGGTGCTAGGTGTATATCTAGGGAAGGGTGACTTTCAGTTAAAGAACTGGGAGGGCATAGGTGAGAAAATAGGTGCCCGATTGTCTAGATGGAAATGGGTCCAGCCCCAGTTGTCATACAGGGGGAGGACTTTGGTTGCCAACAGTCTAGCTGCATCCATGCTTTGGCATCGGGCCACCGTTCTAGTTCCCCCGAACAAAATATTAGAACAGATACAGAAGACACTGGTGGACTTTTTATGGGATGGCTATCATTGGATTAGATCAGCTGTGCTGTTTCTACCTGTGGCGGAAGGGGGTCAAGGGCTGATTGACCTCAGGAGCCGCATAACTGCGCTTCGGCTCCAGACGGCACAGAGATACTTGTACAAATCACAGCAGCCCTGGACTGAAACGGCATCCTTGCTGCTGCAAAGAATTGGAAACCTACACTACGATAAGCATCTCTTTCTATTGGACTTGGAGGGAATGGACACTACACAAACTTCCAGTTTTTATCAGTCAGTATTGGATGACTGGAGAACAGTTTTAAAAAGTAAAAGGGACTGCACTCAGGTGTATGGGACAATAGGCGATGAACCTTTGTTCCATAACCCAGCCAGAAGAAGCAGAATTCTGGCCTCTAAGAGTATCCAGAGGATGTTCACAGCAGCGGGGCTGACAAAGCTGGCAGGACTGAGGGCAGATGGTCAATGGAAGAGTGCTGCGAAGATATGTGAGGAAACAGGGACTAAATCCTTACGCCTCATGGACAGACTGGTACAGGAGGTGATAAGTGGACTTCCCGGATCCTTCAGGAGGGCACTAGAGACAGAGGAGCATCTGGAGGAGTTTCCAAAGCTGTCTATTGGTGCTGCAGTGGTGGAACAGGAGGAAGCAGACGGGCTCCTGCTGTCATTCAGAACACCAGAACTGAGGAACTTCTCTGAAGCACCAAAGAGAAGCCTATATGAGGTATCAGTGAAAGTCCAGAACAGAGCGATGCTGGTAGGGGTCAAGGAGTCGAGGTGGTCGGGTGTGTTGGCGCCAGGTTCATCTCCCAGGGGCAGCTGGAGGTCCCTGTACAAAACCCCCCTGGAGAAACGTACTGCAGATCTCCAGTGGAGGATTGTACACGGGGCCGTGGCCACAAACAGACACGTGGCACGTATTGATCACAGGGCAGGGAGTCAATGCGCATTCTGTCAGACGGAGGAGACACTAGAACACCTGTGGATAGGATGTGCCAGAATAGGTCCTCTGTTTTCCTTTTTAAAGCAGTGGGTGGGAGCATTAGGAATTAATTTGAACAGTGAATTGTTTATTTTTGGGCCCAGATACTCGGCAGCACAAAAGGAAAAAATTTGTTTGGTTAATTTTTTGTTGGGACAGGCTAAAATGAGCATTTGGTTGAGCAGGAGGAATAAAATGAAGGGGGCAGGTTCTGCAGAAGCTGAGCTGATGTTTAGAGGTTTGGTGGCTGCACGTCTCAGGAGGAATTTGCTTATTATAAGATGGTGTCAGACCTGAATGAGTTTATTTCCATTTGGGGAGTTGGGGATGTTTTGTGTCGAATAGATGATAATGTGCTTATTCTAAGTTTTTGAGGGGATGGGGGTTTTGAGGATGTTGTGTATGATTGTATCTATCTATTTTTAATTATGTATGTTTATTGTAACTGAAAAAATGGACCAATAAAGTCAGTCCATGGTATCTATCTATCTATCTATCTATCTATCTATCTATCTATCTATCTATCTATCTATCTATCTATCTATCTATCTATCTATCTATCTATCTATCTATCTATCTATCTATCTATCTATCTATCTATCTATCTATCTATCTATCTATCTATCTATCTATCTATCTATCTATCTATCTATCTATCTATCTATCTATCTATCTATCTATCTATCTATCTATCTATCTATCTATCTATCTATCTATCTATCTATCTATCTATCTATCTATCTATCTATCTATCTATCTATCTATCTATCTATCTATCTATCTATCTATCTATCTATCTATCTATCTATCTATCTATCTATCTATCTATCTATCTATCTATCTATCTATCTCATTTTATTTCATTTATTGTTTATTTGAAAGGGGACAGTGTACATTAATAAACCCAAGTTAGCTAAGGAGTGCTAATTTTCATCGGTAGTCCCCCAGCCAGATATTAAAAAGGCAACCTTAAAAATAAACACAAGTATAAAATCACAAGATTAAATTACAATACCAATTACATAAAAACATTATGGTTAAGAAATAAAATTCATGTAAAATGATTAAAAATTAATTGTAAAATTATTTAAATTAATTAGAAGGTGAGAGGCAGATCCACAGGGTAATACAGGGAAACATCTTAGGGTATTATTTGTTATTTGTGTTGATCTTTTAGCCTGTTCCATTTGGCAAAGGTAAAAAAAAATGACAACGTGACAACAACAAAACAAAAAAGGAGAAAAACCTTAGCTGAATTAGGTCACATTCAAATCTTGGTTCCTCAAAACTCTTTTTAATGCTCATTGACCCTCTTCAACCAATAAAATGAACACAACTATTATTAACCATTTGATGAATCAAATTTAACAGTACTTATGAGTCAGTAAATAGTGATTATGTATAAACCCAGGATAGAGACATTAACTTTAACAAAATCAAAACATACACAAAGTCAAAGCAAAAACATTGTACATTTCACTAAAGGTTTAACTATTAAAAGCAAAATAAAATGTCCTGGTATCGCTTTGAAACATTATATAACAGCAAATGTCAAAAAAAGAAATATAAGTTCATATGTTTTTTGTTTTTTTTTTTAGATTTAAATATTTTTATATGTTGCATCTTTTCCTAAATGATTGTTTTAGTCATTTCTGATTTTTCTAGATCCCTCTGTTTTATTTGCTGTTGCAATGAAAGATGAATAATTTTCATGACTTTGACGCCTGATTTCTCTACCTCCTGTTTAGAGCTCTGTTAAGATATTTAAAGCAGCTCTAAATATTTCTAATTCATTTTTTATTTTTAGATCCGCTCTTAACACCAAACATCATAGCTGCTGCTAGAAGGCCCCATTTCTAACATTCCAGTGTGGTGAGCTTATTTCTAACTGGATCTGATGTTTACTAGAAAAATGTTACTAGTATAATCCTGCAGCACCGTTCAGTGGTGAATGAGGATGAGAATGTAGTCATGGTGCAGCCATGTCCTCTCAGGGATGTTCCATCTTGTAGATCTCCACTCTAAGCTGATTGGTCCATGTTGACTGCAGTGATCAGTGTGCGGCTGAGGGTCAGCGTAGCCACGCTCTGAGCTATCGCAAGGGCTGTGCCCGAACATTTCTTGACTAAAGTCTGCTCTCCCTCTATGCCGCTTGAAATTTTGACCTCCTCATCTCTTCCTCTCCTCATCCTCCTCCTCATCCTCCACATCCTTCTGAAGCTGTCTGTCACAAAGCAGTACACCACAGGATCCAGGCAGCTGTTGAGGCTGCTCAGGCTCACTGTGATGTGATAGGCCAGCACGTGTCCTGCCCCAAGTTGCCCATCACCGTCTCCTGTGGGCCTTACCTGGAAGTAGACCAGGACTTGACGGAGGTGGAACGGAGTAAAGCAAATAGTGAAAACCACCAGGATGGTGGCCAGAAGCCTAATGGCACGAGTCCTCCTGGCTCTGCTGCGCTGAGGCATCAGTCCGTGGCTGGAGGAGAGGAAACAGGCGACGCGGAGAGTAAATCCCACCACGGCCAGCATGGGGAGGAGGAACTCAAGAACTGTGAGGTAGAAGTGTGTAGGGAGGTTCATACAAGAGGAGCTGAAATTCAAGGCCGTGGTCTGCACGAGAGAGGAAACAGAGATTCAGCCCTTTTGTCATATAAGTTAATTATTATTGCCTGTATTCCAGCCTCATGGCATCCATTATAGAATCCAAGTTTGAAATATCCTTAAAGTATGTGACAAAATGCCAGCTTCAACAAGATTCAGGCGTGGGAACTGACAGCCTGGAAGAAAGCTACTGGACCACAATCAGCTTTTAATTTAAAATCTTTCAAATTCTATAAAGGTGGGTTTCTAGAGATTGAAGAGATGGAGGCCCACAGCATCATTGATCCTCCACTTTACCTAACACTGAGGATAGGTACTTTCATGCAAAAACTGCAAATAGAAGCCATTTAGCAGAATCCAAATGTTTGTTTCTGTTGGTAGGATAGAAAAGTAAAAACTAAAGTAAACATTACAGAATTACTTTAGTCACGCCTTTTTTTTTTTAGTATTATTTTTTTTAGTAAGTATTACATTTACTGATAAATGTCGCAAAATAGATTTTTTGTTTTTTTACCCTCACATAAAAGTATTTAATAAAAGGAGGAGTAGCAGCCTAGTGGTTAGGGCATAGAGCTTTGAGGTCTGAGTTCGAGCCCCACTCCCACAGACTGCCACTCTGGTTCACTGAGCAAAAAGGCCCCTAACCCCACACTGCTCCCCAGGTGCCGCACAATGGCAGCCCACTGCTACTCAAGGGGATCGTTTAACAGCAGAGCATTCATTTCATTGCGCTGTACTTGTGACAGTGTAATGACAATAAAAGAAGGTTACTCATGTTGAGGTGTTTTTTTCCAGGATCAAATGAAGCTTTGCTGTGAACTTGATCTGTTTGTCCTTTAAAAGCAACACAGCTTAGAAATGGCTGCTTTAAGATTGAATTTATTTGAGCTGCAGCCCTGAAGGAAGCGGCGGTGATAGGGCACGGCAGTTTTTAGTTACTCTGAGAGCTTTTATCAGTCATATTTTTTTGGTTTTGCTTACACAGTACTATTAGGTGCCTTTTAAACATATTGGAATGCATTGGTTTTTTAATTTTGAATGAATATTGAACTTGATGTATGTGATAAAATTACTTGTAGAACTTAGCTTGATTCTTTAAAGGCTCCTTTTTTACATTTTAGTTTTTAACATTTGCTTCATAAAAACTGTTAGAATCAGTGTTTGCAATATAAATAAAAATAGGCGGTAAAATTAAAATTTAAATGCAGAATATTTAATAACAGTCATCATGTTTACAGCAGGTTTACATGTGCCATACAGAGATATAGATAATATGTCTGTGAGGCATTTAACCTGCTGTAAAAAAATAGTCTATTCTGCCTATTTTTTTCGTATTGTTCCAGCGTGACGGATGATGCTGTTGACTGTTTCTGTGAAGCTTTACCTGAAAGGAGTAGGTGACCACAACTGCAACGGACCACACAGCGGCGCTGACGCCCTTGGCTGCTCCAGTTGTCCTCCATCGATGCAGAGTGCTGGCAGCGTGGACGACAGCTAGATAGCGGTCAATACAGATACTGAAAAAAACAAAAATCACACTGAATTAGTTTGACCTACATTTAATTATAATTCAATCACTTCTCAAGTTAACCCATGGATTATTTTCATTGAATACTTCATGTTTTTTTTTTTGATTGGCTATAACTTTTTTGTTTTTATTGCAAGAAACATTTGACCTAATTATACATAATGGTATCTACATTATTCACATTGATAATATCAATAATCTTCTTGTACATATTTAGCTTACACTAAAACATGCGCATGTTTACCCAAAACTACCTGGATTACAGAAAGCAAAAGGTAATCTAGGTAGTATAGAAGAATATTGCTAATCAGAGTGTGATGGCCAAACACCTTAAAAGTCATTACTATACATGGATCTTCACCTTTGTTGTTTAATGTAGTTTTGAAAAAAATGTTTTGGGTTAAAAATAAAAAAAAACTATTTCAGATATGTAATTAGTAATATGTAATTATTTGGTTATGAGGGCCAATATCCTTCTTTTTTTGGTACTAGATCATCTTATTTATCTGCTTAAATTTAGGGCAAATACACTGATTTTAAGAAACATTTACTTTTTTAGAGCAGTGCTTTCTGAAGTGTAATACTAAAACTTTTTCTTATGATGGTAGGTATTGACAAAAGAGACTGTAACTGATTTCTCTCATACCATTTTATTTCCTGTTTAAAATTATTTTAAAATGAAAGGTTTGCGGCTCACTTAATTAATTAAAAAATCGGCTCTTGCTGTTCTTTCGTGTGTGTGTGTTATTATTTTATTCGTTTTCCCCATGGCAAAAAAAAACACACTGACCCCACCTTGGACACCCTATTACATTTTGTGTAGAACCGCCACTGTTTCTAAATGTTAGGCACAAACGATATAGGTTTGGTGCATTTAATTAGTCAGTCAAACAATTTAACCAAAATCACAACATACCGGTATGTCAAACCTGTGAAACCTGTTACCGTTTCGCTTTGTGAACCATTTCTGGTGCACAATCAGTTAAATGTTTTCTTTGAAAGATTTTATTTTCTAAATGTATTTATTGCAACTGTTATTTATAACAGTTTAAAGCCAAAATCTCCTCTTTTCCTTTGTGAAACGAAACAGAAAGTCTATTTTTATGCTTACAAAAACAGAAACTAACTAGCTTTTAGTTAAAATGAAATGTTCCTTAAGTACTTTTTATTTTTACTTGAGTTAATTTTTATTTGCACTCTCTCCAACTGTGCATAGTACCAGGTAATCTACAGCAGCCATTTTGAAATTTTGGGTTCTGACCCCAGTTGAGCTCACGAGATGATTTATGGGGGTTGCCAAATTATTTTAGAAAAATATAAATGGCCAAAATGTAGCTTCCGACAGGACATTAGAAGGCAATTTATCACTCAAAATCAGTGACTGTTGACCATCACTAGGCTTCCCCAAAACAACAACAAACCTGACCACTAGTGTATAGGAGGGCCCTGGTTCTGTAACACATCAACTATCCAGGGGACGAAGATCAGATTTTAAGGGGCGTGCCCCTATGACCCCCCCCCCCCCCCCCCCCCCCCCCCCCCCCCCCCCCCCCCCCCTTTAGCTCGGCCTTTTTGTTGATGTCATAAGGATTTATATCAGAGGTCTTAAACAGGGGGTCCGTTTCATTCACTACACCTGTCCCATCAACCAGGAATCATAATCAGGAATACTTTAATAATCTCAGGGCAGAATTACTGTCAATACATGACTCCATCTGTAATAGAGTGTCTATAAGACCATTTTTATATAACACAATTTCAAACAATATATATAATTAGGGGGTCCACTCCCCACTCCATCTCGCCATAAGATTTGGGGGTCCTTGGCCTGGAAAACGTTGAAGAGCCCTGATTTATATAGTTCGCACTGCAGTACCCCTTCATCACCACAAGGGGATGCTAAGGCATCCAAAACACAGATATCCAAAGAAAAACTGTTAAACTGAGTGGCTGTGCAAAATGTTGCTGTAAATATACAGTTAGGTTATTCCACATTGACTTAAAAGCCGCAAAGGTTTGTTTTTCAAATTTTATTAGAGAAGAGGAATTCAAGGCTATACTGCTGCTTACCTTTATCAAGGCTGCACTTTAAAAAATGAAATAGTCTAGAGAGCTGCACTTAACGAAATTTGATTTTGTTTACACTTGTGTACAAAATGAAAAAAATAAAATCTGTCTAAGTCTATATTTCATGAGCTCTTTAAATTTGTATTTTTTCCCCATTGTTGTGAAACTAAGGATTGTATGGAAGAGTATTAGGGCCACTATGGAAATAAAAAAGGTTAACTGATTTTTACATTTTATTACAGTATAATATGCCTTTTTGTGCCTCAGAATTCTGACTTTAATTCAAGAATTCTTACTTTTTTCTTAGAATTCTGACTTTTTCTCAAAATTCTGACTTTAATCTCACAATTCTGACTTTTTTCTTAGAATTCTGACTTTAATCTCACAATTCTGACTTTTTTCTCAGAATTCTGACTTTTTTCTCAGAATTCTGACTTTTTTCTCAGAATTTAGACTTTAATCTCAGAATTCTGACTGAATTCTGACAGCTAGCAAACATGTTAGCATCAAGCCGTAGCCATGTCTGTTTTAGAGACTCAACTATCTCTCTTGTTTTAATCACCTTTTGCTCTTCCATTAATGAAATAGCATCACCAGGGACCCCTCGGGCACGTTAAAAGTCGCCTAATTCTGTCATTTTTCACCAATGTGTTACTGTCCCTCTCAAACAACTCATATATTTTTCAGTGAAGCTGAGTGCTCCCACATCTCTTCCTTCATGGTGCCCATCTACATTAAGGTAAAAAATTCTGAGACTAAAGTCAGAATTCTGAGAAAAACGTCAGAATTCTTAGGAAAAAAAAGTCAAAATTCTGAGAAAAAAAGAATTCTGACTTTTCCTATATAAAACTGAAATATTATTTAAAAATCAGTTAACCTTTTTTTTAAAAAAAAATTTTTAGTGGCCCTAATCCATAGATAAGCCCCCAAGTTGTTGGGAAAAAGTCCTGCACCTGGTCAAAAACAAGATGCTGCAGTACATGTTGACAAAGTAGCTGAAGGTGTGGACGTAGGAGCAGGCCACACAGCTGCCACCACTGTGGTACAGCGCGATGCGGGCGGGCAAGGACAGCGCCACCAGCAGATCAGCGACAGCCAGGTTCATGGTGTAAACCACAGAAGCCGAGGAACGAGTCGAGGTCCCGCAAAATACATACAGAGCGAGACTGTTGAGGAGGACACCAACCACCAGCATCACACAGTTACAGACCTGCAGCAAGGAGGAAAAGCATCCAGCTTTGAGGTTTGATGTGCTGCATTGGATTCACATCTGAATGTAAAGACATCAGAAAGTAACAGATGACAGATTCATGTTTTTATTTTCAATCTCACCATCAGAAAGACCCAGAAGGGGTAGAAGTCCTGGTACAGCTGTAGATCCAGGTGTGCTGTCTTGTGCAGATAAAGCGCTCCCCACTGTGGATCCAAGATGCTACAGTTAGTTTGGGATGCAGTGGGGGGATGCAGAGGGTCCCTGGTGCTCCTGGAGGAGCTAATGTTAGGGAGAAGGAGCTCCATCGCATCGAAAAGATGATCAACTGAGAGGATAGAAATAAAGGCATGTCAAATGAGATGGTTTTAAAAAAAAACTTCCTCAAATATCCCCATTTATTCTACAAAATGCAACCTTATTCATATTAATAAATGAATATGACCCCAGCTCATTTTCCAGGTATTTATCTATGAGCCTTTAACTAATGCAGACCTGCACTTCCATTGATAGCAGATCAGAATGTGACATGAATGCATTCGAAACAGATCCATGCAAGAGTTTACCAATAAAAGAGCTGTGCTTTGCAATATAAATAAAATATAGTTACACAGTAAATAAATTTCACTGTTAAACTAATTAGAGCCAGCGGAGCAAAACATTATTTATTCAGCCACTGATTGCACATGTTATCTAACTTAGAAAGATCATTTTTCATCATAGACACTTCAACTAAGAGAGAAAAACTGTGAAAAAAAATCCAGGAAATCTCATCGTAGGATTATTTATAAATTTATTTATAAATAATGGTCGAAAATAACAAAAGTAGTAGCTCCGTAATTTGTAGCACTACTAGAGGTCAGGTCTTAATGTCAGTCTTCACAAGGTTTGCTGCTATTTTGGCCCATTCCTCCATCAGATCTCTTCTAGAGCAGTGATGTTTTGGGGCTGTTGCTGGGCAACAAGTGCTTTCAGCTCCCTCCATAAGTTTTCTGTGGGGCTGAGGTCTTGAGACCTGCTAGGACACTTGAGAAAGATAGAAATACTTTTTCAAGAGCCAATCCTTCATTGGCTTAGCAGTGTGTTTAGGATTATTGTCCTGCTGAAAGACCCAGCCACCTTACATTTTTAAGGCTCTCACTGATGGAAGGAGGTTTGAGCTAAAAATCTCACAATATATGGCCCCAATTTTTCTTCTCATAACCCAGGTCAGTCATCCTGCCCCATTTGCAAAAAAATAGCCCCACGGCATCATGCTTCCACCTCCAAGCCGCACAGTAGGTATGGTATTATTTGGAAGTAACTTGCATTCTTCTTCCTCCAAACATAACAAGTTGAGTTTGTGACTAAAGGCTCTATTTTGGTTTTATGTGACCATGTGATTTTCTCACAATCCTCTTCTGGATCATCCCTATGTTCTCTGGCAAACTTCGGACCTAGACCTTGATGTGTACTGGCTTGGGGGGTGGGGGGTCGTGGAGTCCATCTTGATGCAGTGTGTTACTAATAGTAGCCTCTGTTACTTTGGTCCCAGCTCTAAGACGTAATTCATCAGGTACGACTGTGCAGATCTGGGACCGTTTGGATTATTTTGACCCCAAGGAAGGAGATCTTAGGTGGGGCTCAATTATTTTTTCACACCAACCTGCTTGCCTACTGTAGATTCACTGTTACCAGTCTAATGCAGGTCTAAACTCATCTCCCTGGTGTCCGTCTTTGGTATTTGCCATGGCTGGGTTTGGAGTCTGACTGTTTGAGGCTGCGGACAAATGTCTTTTATACAGATAACATTTTCAAACAGGCGTCACTAATACAGGTAATGAGTGGAGGACAGAAGAGCTACATAAAGATAAAAAAGATCAAAGTCAGTGAGGGCCAAACATCTTGCTTTATTGTAAGTGATCAAATACCTATTTTCTAACCATAATTTAGAAAATAAATCTTTAAAAATCCTACCCATGTAATTTTCTGGATTTGCTTTCCTCATTTTATCTCTTATAGTTATCTTGAACCCATGATGAAACCTTCGCACCCATTAGGGTGCCTGATTGCCGGCTAATAGCAATCAGGCAGTGTATTCTCAGGACTTAGGGATGCTAAATCCCCAATGACTCCACTCCAGATCAATGAGTTCTCTTTTTTCCTATTATTTCCAGTAGTGTTTGTAAGCTCTTTCTAATGCCTGTCTTAATGTAGTCCGTATCAAAAACTCCCCTCATATGCAGGCAAATGTATGCAGATAGTCCTGCTTACATTGATGAGGACACTCTTCAGATGGTTTATTGCAGTGGAACACTGTAAAGACCTTTTAGAGTTTAATCTAGAACAGATTGTTTTATAAACATCGCCCTTTCATAGTGGGGAGTTGATAAAATCCATCTTCCCGTGCTCTCCGAAAGGATATGACAATTTTGACAAAGTGAAGCACGTGATCTGAACTGTTATTTTAAAGAAAAGCACTAGATCAAATTTAATCACGTCAGAGCTTGAGTTAGACCACTCCTGATCCTCGCAGACTTAAAAATATAAAGTTTCTCCACTCAGCTGAAATGTGACGGATACAGCATGTTTGATTTAAAAGGCAGGAAGTTCTAAAATGTTCCACTAATGTGTAGCAAGGAACATTTTCAAGGTAAAAAACGGTTCTAAAAGGGAATGCAATATTCTGTATGTTTGGCACATTGGTATAAACAATTTAGAATTTGTTGACAACCTTCAAATATTTTTCAAAAAGGCTCAACGAGGCATCAGTCCGGCACAGATTATATGGTTATCATGTCATTCACAGATCTGCAGTTTGTGAATGAGAAGTCCTTTGAAACATAAAAGTAAAAAAGAAATCACTTTTTCCCATTTTTCATCAAGGAATTTTCATTTAATATTTTTAATGAATGAAGCATTTAGGGTAACACTAAAAAGTAACTTTTTCATTGTAGGCTGTTGTTGTTCCAAGGATTATGGGATTTGTAGCTAAAACTGAATTTTATTTTATAGACGAGATAATAGAAACAGGATTTGGGATTTTAGGGATGCTTCTTATTGTCTTTTAGGTGTTGCCATGTCAGTTAACTCCTTTGTGTTCAGTTTCTTTGCCTAAATCATTACTGCTCTATTTTCATTAAAATTTTAATTTAAATGTATAGTGGAGAATGTTATTTTTCTGGGTCGATCATCAAATTTAGTGGTCCTCCTAATTTCTTAATCTTTCTGGTGATATGTTTACGTAAGGCTGTCCTACGTGCTCATCCCCATTTTAACCTACAGGTGGTGAATCTGACATAGTGGAAAAATAGCAAATCTTCTTTTGCAAAGTAAGCTTGTATGAGCAATGCAAACAGCAACTTTAAAACAGAGCGTGCACGAGGAGAAATGGGCTCGTGCACGCTTTCACACACGTTTAATAGGCGCTCCCTCTCGGGAGTGGGTACCGGGTTGTGCATGTGCTTTTTCTGTGGGGAGGGCGGGTCTTTTAAAAAAATCACGAAAATCCTCCACTATTGATGTTTGTGTTCATCTCTCTGTGTTTTATTCTTACTTTTCTGCTCTGTATTGTATTTCAGTTCTTCTGCCTAGCTCTGATTAAACTCAGAAGTTTCCCTTCTCTGTACTCAGTATTCTGGTTTTGTTTTGCAGACGTACTTATGTGATGCTCGCCATCGTTTCATGTTCTCTTCTCTTTGTGCCAAATCTGTGAGTTTGCTTCTTCTAAACACCAAAATGCTCTTTTAATATCCAGTCCACATTTAGGTAGACTGAAAACAACAAACTATGACAGACATACACAAACCTAAGCTTTGTTTGTTAAACTTTTTCACATACTGTCATGTTACAAACTTTTAAATATTTTTATTGTAGTATTTCTTAATGCAATTCCTTTGCAAAGCAAGAAATCTAATGCGCAAAGCTTCCATTTACTGCAGGACAAGGATATTAAACATATAAGCAGAGCCACAATGGGACGATTTAGATCTAAACATAGTTATGAGTTAGAATGATCAAATCAAAATCCAGCTCTTAATTAAACTGAAAACCTTTAGAAAGACTTAAAGATTCAACTTACATTGTCATGATACTATAACTGGTTAAACTTTAGCTACTTTTAGGGCTGCAACTAACTATTATTTTGCAAATCGATTAATCAATTAATAATCGGATAACCAAAGGTTCATTAAAGAAGATTTTTTTTTAATGAAATTAAGCCAAGTAAAACTAAAACTTTTCCACTTGAGGAGCTCTGGACAGACAAAAACATATTTTTAAACTTAAATGCAAAATGTTTATAAACTTTTTCACAATTTTGGTATAATTACTGCTCTAAGTGGGTCGCTTTGTCAGCTAAAGGCATGTTTTAGAGTCTCTATACTCCAGTTAACAATTAATCAATTACTAAATTAGTTGCAGATTATTTAAATAATTGATTATTCATGATTAATCAGATTAATTGTTTCAGCATTAGTTACTTTACACTAAAAGGTTTAAATGTTGGTTTGAGGATTGACAAAGCTGGAGACATACCCCAGGAAACTTCTGGCTGTAAAACATACTGTAATATTTATCTGGAGACTAAATACAAATATACAACACACTATTTAGATCACAGCTTGGAAACAAAATGCAATTATGACCGACTTTGCAGTGATCAGTGGCATAAAATCCCAGCATTTAGAGATTCTCTCAACTCTTTATCATTGTAGCCAAAAATATGGTAGAAGATCTGGATTGAATGGACAAAAATACATTAATTTGACTAAAATTAATGTAGGGGAAACAAATCGGATTGGTTTCTACTTTAAAAAACAATCATAAAAATGCCGAAATCAATCTTCTAATCTTGCCTTTTTCTCTTTCTAAAACTTAAGACTTATTTATAAAAAGAAATACCAGGAAACAATTCATAACTGATACAAGGTCAAATTTACAGACAGTGAAAACTATCAACAGCTTCTGACAGTGTAGAAGCTGGAGTTGGCCTTCTTTGTATCTTTGGATTATTACTACTACTAATAATAATACTAACAATTTAAGAAATGCATGTAAAGAAAGCAATAGTTAATATATATATATATATATATATATATATATATATATATATATATATATATATATATATATATATATATATATATATATATATATATATATATATATATATATGTGTGTGTGTATTTTATCAAACATACCTTAGGTGCAGCGAGAGGGGGACAGGAGTCTTTAGACATTGGGTTCCTCCAAATCCATTCTATTCTTTCTTATATCCTTGTGTTTTTGTTCTTTTCTTTTAGGTAAAGGACTTTAGAGACCAAAATGTCTCTAAACTGGGTTGTAGAATATGACCAGCAGCAACTTCTACCTCCTCCCAGTCAAATACTACAATCCTCCTCCTCTTGACCCATTTACCTCAGCTTACGTCCTCCTTAGCAGGACTTTCTGTCCAAACTTGAACTGGTGTTCTTTTTTTTTAGCTCACAAGTGTGTTCCTGTATAGAATTAACACAGTGAATAAAAAAAAAACTGGATCTCAAACCCTAAACCAGACCTGAATTGAGAAAGCTTCCTGGATGGGAAGCAAAACATTGTCAAAGTTGGAAAACAAACTCCAGTGGTTAGTCTTTTAACTTTTTTTTTGTTTTTTTTGTTTTTGGAATGACTACGACCTGAATCATTGTGAATCTTCACCAGCATAATACAGGGAATATCTGAATAATTGTTGTAAAAAATTGTAAGTTAGAGATTAAGTGAGAAAATATAAAAGTTTGTGTCACTATACAGGCAGGTGGCAGGTTGATTTTTAACTCAACTCGTTAGAATGAGATGTTAGAATAAGAAGATCTGAAATCAAAGCTTAGAAAGTTAGAATAGAAAATGATCCAGATGAGTTCCTAAGGTATAACAGGCATCTACGCAGCAAAGATGTACAAATAATAGAGCGGAAGCTGTGGTGCTTCTTGCCTGAAGTTTCTGTTTCCAAAAGTTAAGTCCGGTATTATGCCAGATTATTTGTTGGTGTTTCGTCTCATTGGTAGAATTACAGTTTCTTCCTAATTTGATGGTGGTGCAGTTTTTAGCACTGTTCCCTGGTGTCAAGAAGGTTGTCTACCCAAATATTTTGGCAAGTTCCCTCTTGGAGCTTTATTAGCATGAAGTCTGCATATTTTCTCTATAAATAGGTTTATTTTTTTTTAAAGAACCCCAACAACGTGGGGTAGTAGTGCAGTGCATAGTGCAGTGCGTTTGTGCTCTGAGAAGGTTGCAAGTATCCAGTTTGATCCCCACATTCTCTATTCTGGGTTCCTGAGCAAAACCCCTTAATCTTAACCCCTGATTAAGAACCCCTGGGCGCCACACAATGGCAGCCCACTGCTCCCAAAGGGGATGGGTCAACATGTAAAGAACAAATTTCCAAATTGTGGAACAATAAAGTGATTTACAAACAAGTGTTTCAGATTAAACTGTCCCTAGGCATGAGTTTGCAAGTACATATTTGTATAGCTATGCATTTTAGCATAAATATTTTCAACCATCTATGAGGGACACCGAAACCGCTCTTTGTTGACCTGAACTCTAGTCACTTTAAACCATTTTCTAGATAAATCTAGTATGCTGGATTAAACTAGATCAAAATGCCACATTTATGTGGGAATGTGTGGTCCCACTGAGAAACAAACAGAAGAGCAGGTGTACAATGTTTGTATCTGTGTTAACATGTTATCCAATCATCAATAAGATGGACAAAATACTGGAAGAGAGAAAAAAAGGAACTACGTATCGTATGCATCAGAGAGACTGAAGGTCAGAATTGCTTTTATTACATTGGATACATAATTTGAAGAAAAGTTGTGGTTTGTAGGGCTTTGCTATTTACTTTAAATGTGTGAGTGCAGTTTAAATGACAAAATCTCTCATGACACAAACCTGAACTATACAGGTCACTCAGTTTGGCTTCACTTCCTTTAAAGCAAATATTGGATGTTTGATTTATGTTTCACTCTCAGTGACTTAAGAAAGACTCCAGTGAAAGCTTAATGGGCTGTTTTAAAGCTGGCTCAAATATTTGAGATCTCTGCAAGATGTTTAAAGCGCAGCAGACAGAGAGGAAGGATGTCCTACTTGGCACTTCAGGGAAATTTAGTAGGTTGAAAGAAACTCTGACACTTGGTTGTGTTTGGAAATCTATTTATAGAGTTCGCCTGGTTCAGGTGCATTTGGAAATTAATGTCAACAATTATGCTCTTTTGTATGCACAGTTAGACTTAGACAGACAGATTTTATTTTGTCATTTTGTACACACAAGTGTAAACAAAAAGAAATGCTGTGAAGTACAGCTCTCTAGACTATTTCATTTTTTTTTAAAGTGCAGCCTTGATAAGGTAAGCAGCAGTGATAAAAACATTGCGATGATTTAATTTATAAACTGAAAATTTATAAATTTATAGATATTAAATTTATAAATATTCATAACATTTAGTGGAATAATAATGGTAGGATTGTGGTTTTGTAGTTTGCCATAAAGAAAAACTGCATTATCATGACTATTTTCTAAGAATTCAGCAGGTATAAAAAAATGGATGTGGAATTGATGGTGAAAAAATCCTCATGGTTCTTGGCATGATTGTATTAGTTTTATATGGTAGCATTAAAAAATATGTTACAGCTAAAATTGGATGCCAAAACAGGATGCTTTTATTAAAATATAGATTGGATTGATGGGTCTTTTACCCATATTCTCAGGAACAAAACAAAAAGTCAAAAATTGTCAAAAACCAGGGTAATTCACCAAGCTTTTATTTACTATACTAAATTGCTGTTTAAAAAAAAAAAAAGAGTTTCAAATAATAGTTATTTTTCTACAAAAAGCCAAAAAAATAAAAATAAAAAAAATAAATGGGTCTAGCTAGAGGTCTTTGCTATGTGTGGACCATTTCACCTCCAGTCAGAGATCTGATCCTTCTGGTTCTTGTAACTAGAACTGGACCAGCTGGACCAAACTCTCAGATCACATACGTTGAGCATAAACTGCTAGCTTTTTAAAGCTAGTGGTGACTGAAAGCACCACTGTTTCTTTTCTTTCTTTCTTTCTTTTTTTTTTCTTTTCTTTTTTTTTTTGCTGCTGCTTTCAAAAAAAGTATTTCACCAAGTATTATATCAATAGATATTTTGTTTTAAATAAGTAATTTACATTTATCTATTTTTATATAGTGTCTATATCTACATTTTAACAGTAATTTTGTCAACACATTTCTTTAATCTGTTCTATAAATTGCTTCTACTTTTATTTGATCTAGTTCGTTATAATATTACATATGAACTTAGCCTGGTTTGATTAGAAAGTAAATTTGCCTGTCACAATATGGCTATGGTGCCGTTGCTACTGGATGCCACGCTTCTATAGTTACTATGACAACTCAACGTCGCCGTAAAAACAACTCTGTAAAAACAAGGTAAAAAAAATGTTCCCGAGCAACACCAAAGCAAAAGAAAAAAAAAACAAAACAACTCAAAGCTTTTATGTAAAATATATATTTAACAAACTCACACACATACAAGTGGTGTTTTATGTTCAACAATATTTTTTTAAATTATTTTATTCGGCAGCGGAACTGCTTATTTCGCATTGTGTTGGGGACCGGAAACAAAGCTGATTAACAAACGCATCGCTGGTAACGGGTGTGCGTGTTAACCGCGTAGAAAATGTTCAAGAACACGTTCCAAAGTGGGTTTTTGTCTGTACTGTACAGCATCGGCAGCAAACCGCTGCAGATATGGGACAAAAAGGTGAGTAGAGATCTGGAATTGACCGGGTGAGCCTCTTCCGGTGTGAGCATTCACTGCTAGTGATGCTAAAGCTACTTGGTATCATGTTTTACTTTCAGAAAGTTATGCATTTTGATCCGATAATTCTATTAGCGTTATTTATTTATGGTAAAAAATTTAAATATATATCGTTTTATTTAGTAGATTATCCCAATACTAAGTTACACACATTTTTGCTGAATGTAGAAAATCAGCAGGCTTAGAGAACCAATTAAACGTGTATCCTAAAACCAACATAAAGAAAAACAATCCAAATCAGTGTTCTCAGGTGTTTTTATACGTTGCTATGGGAACAGATCCACACGAATACACTGCGCCTTTTAACATATGAGTCTATATGCTGAAGGTGCTATTAACAAGTTTAAATGTATTTAATGTTAGACAATCTGTATTTGCAGCCACAAGAACTTGACAAACTGCACTTTTTTATTTTTGGCTGAGTCTGTTCAACCACAGTTTGCTGATTAAAATCCTTTAGTAGCAACTCGAGACTTGTTTGCCATCGATCAAGTATGTATTTAGATTTCATTCTATAGAATGAGAGTACTACTCAGTAACTTCATCAGCTTTCAAATATATATTGTGATATTTATACCATGTATAGTGAGAGATTGCTTGGGGGAATGCTTTATGGATATAATGTGTATGCATATGTTTTTATGCAAAATGTTATTATGATTACGACAATGTCAAATATAACGATTGGAATATTCAAGACAAAAGACTTCTGCACACCCTTACATATATAATTTGCACAGAAGTAACAGTGTTTTGCCTTCATGGTGAAAAAGAGAACAAAGAAAACCGATATTAAGAGAAATTGTAGGGGAGTGGCGGCCTAGTGGTTGGGGCATTGCGCTTGGAATCCAGAGGTTCTGAGTTCGAGCTCCACTCTCACAGATGACACTCTGGGTCCCTGAGCAAGGCCCTTAACCCCACACTGCTCACCGGTCGCTGCACAATGGCAGCCTACTGCTTTCAAAGGGGATTGGTTATATGCAGAGTTGATTGCATTGCTTTGTACTTGTGACAGTGTAATGACAATAAAGTTGAATTCTATTCTAAAGTCAAGGAAGGAATAAGAAATCAAATGAAGTACTAAATAAGAAATGCTGCAACATTACCAAGCTGTTCTTCATTCAGTGACTCATACCCCCATCTCTTCTTATCCCTCTTTTCAGTTGCTGACTCTAGATATTTTTTTTCTCCAGAAACAGGTCTGTCAGTGTGTGGTGCATGTTCACATTTAAGTTTAAATTTTTTTTGTAAATGTCTTAAAGCACGGGTCTAAAACGTTTTCCAAACTGATGGAGAGATGGATCACAGCCCCTTTTCTGTAACTTTGAAGTTGAAAGAAAAAATGATTTAATTGATCAAACATCTCACAAACATGCTGCGTTACCTCCACCGGCGCTCTATAGATCACAGCTCCTTCACTAAAGAATCTGTTCTAAAGTATAGCATTTGTTTGCCATAGTTTATGCTATGCTTTAGTTTTTATCGTTCGCAAACCTTTAGGGGAGTCCATAATTGCTCCAAGATAACTTTATATCGGGAATCTGTATCAATAATTGAAATCGGTTTATGAAAGGCAAAAACCTGACCTGTCTTTGTGTTGACAGGTTAGAAACGGTCACATCAAGAAAATAACTGATGGTGACATTCACTCAACTGTCCTGGAGATTGAGGGAGCAAATGTCAGGTAAGTTGTTTTCACCTTCAAAACGTTTGTCTGTTCAAATTCGAATAAAGTGGGTCATCCAAGAAACAAAAATAAGCAAGCAGATATAAAGAACTGAAAATAAGTTGTTTAGTGGAAATTAACTTCCATGCTTTAAAGTTTAACATTAAGGCACACATTTTGTTCATCATGCATGTTTAATTTAACTAAGAAATGTTATATATATATATACTTAAAAGTATATTAGTGTGTTTGATTCAATCACTTGTCTGATCTTTCTGCTTTTTGAACTGTTCTCTCTGCAGCACCACCTACATATCCTGTCCTGCTGATCCCAAGAAGACCCTCGGAATCAAGCTTCCCTTTTTGGTGATGATTATTAAGAACCTAAAGAAGTACTTCACCTTCGAAGTCCAGGTACTGCCTCTGAGAGCCTTCTCGCTATACAGACTGCTGAGGTTTATGGTCGCTGTTGTTTTCTTTCTTCTTCAACATCTTTCGACATCTTTCAGGTGCTGGATGATAAAAATGTCAGGCGACGCTTTCGAGCTAGCAACTATCAGAGCACAACGAGAGTGAAGCCGTTCATCTGCACCATGCCGATGAGGCTGGATGAAGGCTGGAACCAGATTCAGTTCAACCTGTCGGACTTCACCAGAAGAGCGTATGGGACCAATTACACAGAGACACTGCGTGTACAGGTGAGCACACAGAGTTTTTTTTCTCCCTTGTCTTTTAGAAATCCGCATGAATGCTTTTTTTTGTTCTAAAAAAAATAATTTTCTTTCAGATTCATGCAAGCTGTCGCATCAGGAGGGTTTACTTTTCAGACAGACTCTACTCTGAGGATGAGCTCCCTGCAGAGTTTAAACTCTTTTTGCCTGTCCAGAACCAGAAGGCCAAGGTAAGAGTGCAATCTGGAAAAACATCAGTTATTGCATTTATTTGTTTAAATAGTTCTTTAAACAAAACATTTTTTTTTCTCTAAATGCTCTCTAAAACATTCTTTTCTCTTTCAGCAATAGAACCTGCTTAGCTGTGCCGTGGCCTTAGTATTGGTGGAGAGATTTATTTTGTGTACTGTAGATGTATTTGAAAATAGCTTGTGTACATAGGGCGCTGTTGTGTTCGTGTCTGAAATAAAGATTTTATGGAATCATTTTTTATTTGTCTCTTTAGAGATATGCTTATTTCATAATTGTTGACCAGAAAATTGATACATATGCATGTTGATCAATGGCTGCTACTTTATTTAGCAAAAATGGCAAAATCATTTAAAGAAAAAAGCTTTGTTATAAAAAAGTTACAAATTACATTTCTTGAAACATTTGAACAACACTCTGAATTTTAAGTAGTTATTTTCCATAGGAATAAAATTGGTTATTTTTTCTCAAATTTGGAAAAACATAATTTATTAAATTTGCTGTTTAATATACATGTACTTGAAAATATGAATTAAGAATGTGTTGAATACGTTTTTTAGGTTATGCTGTAACATCAGTTTATCTTATGTTTGGCCTAGCAAAGAAACAGTTTTATATAGTTTAATTAAATTCAGTTAATTTATATAGTGCCAATTCACAACACGTCATTTAAAGGCACTTTACATTTCACCAGATCATACAGTCAAATTGATTCAAAGTTTTCTAAGGAAAACCAGTTGATTGCATCGACTAATTGCCTCAAAGGCAAGCCCCTCACACCAGGCATGTTTTGTAGCGACAGTGGAGAGAAAAAACTCCCTTATAACAGGAAGAAACCTACAGCAGAACCAGGCTCAGTGTGAGCGGCCATCTGCCGAGGCCGACTGGGGTTCAAGGAGACAGAAGCAGAGATGTAAAAGGCGGCCCTGTCCAGGAAAAGCACAGCTCAAATAAGGATATTGATGCGTGTGGATAACAGATGGCACATATACATATTTCCATGTCTTTCTAATTAGTGTATATGAAATGTTCATTTAATAATCACTTTTAGAAATATATATGTATCTATATATATAATATACTTGCAGCCATAGAGAGCACAGACTTCATATTTATTTATCTTTTTCACCATGAAATACTTTCAAATGTTCTTGTTTCACCTAATAGATCCTAACAAGTGTTTGGTTAATTTGTACGGCAGCTAATTTTCCAACAAATCACCAGAGCAGTATAAGTGATGTTTTACACAACTGATCAAATTAGTCATTAGATGCATTAATAATTTCTTTTAATACTTTTCAAATGTATGTTTACATATTTTTTATTGGTAAATTGCATTTCAGATATTTTTCCACAATTTCTTTTAAATATTTGTGAGATTTTATAAGAAACCTACTTTGAATTATTTCCATTTTTAAATGATCACATTTTAGTATTTGGTGTCAGTTTTTGCCCGAGACATTGCAAATCTTGTTTTTTATGTTTAACATGTTAGAACAGTAAATTATAGTCAATTTTAAGCAACATTAATGAAAGTAGTGAAAACAAGATTTGTGCGATTTTAGTTAACATGGCAGCGATACAAATTGTTTTAAAACAACAAAACAGAGCCAGAGGGATAGAAAGCACTTTTAATCAGACAGCAGAAGGATTTTGAACTAAAAGATGACAAAAAAAGAGATACCATCAGTAAGTAAATTCATTCATTTTACAAATTTCTATCAAATAATTCAGAAAACATAAACACAAAATTGTTAAACTAAGATTTACTCTGGTAACTTCAAGTCCACCCCCCAAAAAAACCTCCATAACCTTTACCGTTTGTACTTCAGGTAAGATAGCTAGCTAGACAGCCATGATTTTCCTTTGAATATACTTTTCTGCACATATTTGGCAAACATTAGATGGAGAATTGGATCAATTTCAGCCATGATATTATTGAAATGCATCAGCTATGTGCTGAAATACTCATAAAACAGGATTATTGCATTTTTTCCCACTTTTAACACCTTACTGAAAACAGAAACTAACTATACAGTGAAATTACAGCTCTTGATCTCATGTTAACTAAACACAGGCACTTGTTTTTCATAGGGAACACTGATGGGTTTTCTAAACTGGTGTTTCCCCTGCTATAACTTATCAAATTTTTATTTTTTGTTGGGGGCTTAACAGCACTGATCAAAGCAAAAATACAAAAACAAAAGGATCTAATACCGGATGAACTATTTGGTGAAAAAGCTGCTTAAGTTGCTGCTTTTGCCAAAACATCAGGACATTCCAACATCTCGTGGAACATCCATCCTAATTAATTTTTCCAACCATAATAATTATAACTTAGGTTAGTGCATTCTTAGAAATCTATTGCTTTTGTCAACAGCATGCAGATCTTTAAAGTGCAAAAGATATACATCATTGGCTCAGATAAAAGAAAAAAAAAAGGTTTGAAATGATATAAGATAACATCTCACTTTAGCAAAAATATAAACAGCATGGAAAGGTTTTTTAAAGCATGAAATCATTTGACATTTAAAATTTTGTGCAAAGAACATGTAATAATCCAATGCATATCAGCTAATACACCATGGGCTTTTTTTATGGAGCCATGACTCCTCATTCCTATCCTTGGTCCATTTGATCCTTCTGGGAAGGGATCCTCGCTTCCTTAAAATGTGATAAAGATGATTTTTATTTGAATAATATTAGAAAACACTATATTGCACAAAGAGGAGAAAAAACATTTTTGGAATACAGGTAAAGAAAATAGTTACTATGACAACTTCAAAATCAGGACATCTGAAAGGGTTCAGCCTTAATCTAGGAAAAAATAAACCATTTATTAAACCAGACTTGTGGCGCTGAGATACACAGAGTGACCTCTTTGCCACCAACATAGACACAAATCTCATTCAGGCTTTCATAGAGGCAAGATTTAGTTCTGTTTGCCTGGCAGTGGTTTGTCTTAATTGCACCTGATGTGTGCCAGTTTTGTTTAAAAAATATACATTTTAACTAAACTTTTAATAAATGCTTCTTTGGTGGATTTCATGGAATTCGTTTGCTTCACTTCAGCAAATCAAACAATAAGGGATCCTTTCCTTAAATAGGCATCAAAGTCCAGATTTAGTTTGGGCCCAGGATCAAATCATTAAAGATGAAATAGACATCAAACGCAGATGGTGGCAAAGCATCTGGGAGGTTTAGTTTGTCCGAAGGCTTACAAAGGCGGAAGGTAACTGTGAAAAACACCAAGTACTTTCCTGTAATGAACATGTGCAATAATGAAAGCAGAGCCAGCTTTACATTTTCCTTTTGGCTCATTTCAGTTTTTTTCCTTCGTCCGTTTCTATTTCGTGCTTACATGATGAGTAACATAGTAGTCATGAAAATACATCAGCACAGCGATGGGCTGTCCAATGATGAGCGAGAGCCAGACCGCCGCATTGCCATAGTTTCCGTTCAGGTAGCGACCCACAAACCAAGCCAGGGGAACCTACAGCAATAAAAAGGGAGAATGATTCAGAGAGATGTCATCAAAAAACCAACAGGAATGAATGATTCCACGTGTTTTACCTGAGCCATCATTCCCATAAAGGCCCAAAGTCTGAACATCTTCAGGGGAACACTGACCAGGTACTGAGAAAAGAAAATTCCTTTAGAATGATCCATACTGTAAATGGGTTTTATTTAAAGCACCGGTTTTGAATAATTCAGTCCACATATACTTTATTATACGATGTAAACCTAACACTAAGAAACCACAAGAATGTTTTGTGTTTTTATACCTAGAACAAATGATAGAACCTGAAGATTTTTTTTCTAGAGTTTCTGTATTGTAAAAAAAATAAATCTATTTCGCATTTGACAAGTTTAAGCATTTTGATTTAAAATGAAAGATTATGAAATAGTTAAAAAGAAAAACAGAAAACAAACAAAGACATACACATTCTATCTAAAGCTGAATCATACAATGTAAACAAGATAGTAACTAATGGCAACATTTCCTTAATGTGCACAATACAGAGAGGGAACCCACTGCCCAAAACCTGAATGTGCAAAAAAAAAAAAACAACTAAAATTTTCTTCCTTGTAGCGCCCGCCAATCTGTCCCACCCTGGGCAGAAAGCCACACCTAAATCATCAAGGTGCACTCAAGTTTCTGCCTTAAAAGAAACTAAACTAAAACTGACAACTCTTGACCCACTAATCTAGATTCTTGCATATATATTTAAGCTATTTTTCCAAATTTCTTATTTGTTTTTAGTCCAGTGGTGTTTGCTTTGAAATAAATCAAGGACCAACGCAGCATTGTCTATGAATCTTAAGCCCCAAATGGTTCATATAAAATTTTTGTTGGACTGAAAAATTTATTGAGTGTTTTTCACCTCATGGAAGAAGGCAGAAACTAAGAAGACAGCAGTTTGGGCCAGAAACTTGTTGGTCCCTCTTTTCAGCATTGGCTTATAGAAATGTCTATAAAAAAAACAAACAGATATAGACAAAATATATTCTTTTAAATCTATAGAGAGCAGAACATAATGTAATATAGCCAAACATATGTCTGATGTAACATATCCAAAGCACTCTTACCTTAGACACCATTTGTGGACGGGGATATTCCAGTTAGCCCAGAAATACGTTACAGTCTCAGAGTTCCTGAAATGTGAAGAAGTAGAACAGTGGAGATTTCTAAAACCATGTGATGTGAATCAAACAAAATAAATATTTTATCATAACCCTCTATCCCAGGGTATCCTGTAATTTAAACTGCAGAATATTTACAAAACATAAAGTCGAAAATAAATCAATTTAATCACTTTATTCCAACAGTTTTCTGCTTTTGACATTTTAAAATATTTATTTTCCTCTTTAGGATAATTAAGGCTAATAAATCATTGGCCCTGTTATTAACTGCCAAGTTTCAGTGGTAATAACCAGAAATAAACTAGAGCCATCTGTAAAATTCTGTTAATACATTTATTTTAGTTTCCTTCTTGTTAGTGAAACCTGTAGGAAGTCAACTCACCACCAGTCCCTGTAGAACTCCCTGTCTCCAAACTGCAGCAGCTCTGCCACAAAATTCATAGAAGAGTGGAAAAACCAGTAAAAGAAAATTAACCATATTAGATGGTTAGGGACCTGGGAGAGGAGAGGAGAGGAGGGAAGTGGAATATGGGTGTCTGGGTTGGTTAGATCACAGTACAAATCATACTTCACAGTGAGAGAAAAACTTTTAATTTCAAGCAAAAAAAAAAAACTGATAACAAAAAGTTGATTTGGTCAAAAACAGTGTTTTTTTTTTGGCTTAAATGTTTCACATGGTCAGTTCTTTCTCAACAGTAAGGCTCTGTGTCAACACTCTACTGCAACTCACAGCTAATTTGAGCATTCGCTCCACCATCCGAGAAAAGTCCATTTCCTGCAACAAGCAAGGAATAAAATATTAACTCAAATTAATGGATTTCCAGCTTACTAGATATTATAGTATAAAATAATTATCCTGATTATTTTGTGGTAAAGCAAATGATCATGATTATTATCCACTGTGTGTTTGTGTAGACATACCCGGAATGGTTTCATTGAGTTTTGAATAGTGGGAACCATCCACTAAAAGACAAGATAAAGGTCAGTCAACAACTGAGTAAATTAGTATGAAACAAATAGCTTAAAATCAACTGGAAAAAACCTCAAATATTTGAAGTGTAGGGTAGCGGGACAGCGGTTAGATTGTGAAAGTGGAATTTATGTTCAATCTGCTGTCCTGACTAAAAATAGGACATTCCCACTGAAAACACAAGAGGTCAGACCACAAGACAAACAAACGTATGGATTTTTGTGATAGTCGTGTTGCTCTTAACCAGAGGTGATATTTTCTGGTTACAGGTCGAGTTTGAAGGATCACATTAATCAATATATAGGTATTTTTCCCAACCCAGAAACCTTTGGGGAAGCATTTTTCAAAAAGTTTATTATCACTAAGCCCACGATTCAATTCTGAGGGTTAAAAGTGTTTTCTTTCTTTTTAACAGATTATTCTGTTTTTACTTATGCCTAAAAAAAAAAAAAAAAAAAAAAGGATGAATACATATTCAAATGCCTTTTAATTTGCCTTTTTGTTGCCAAATTACCCTCAAGTATCTCTGGGTATTCTGGTTTTGACAGAGGGGTCTCGTATCAAATTGATCTAAGATGCTAGTGCTGTGATTGTAATGCAAAATTAAAACAAACCTGTTGTATTAATCCCACCAACAGCTGCATAAGAAAAAGCTGCAAGAGATTATAATTAACAAATTAAACCAATCCAGCACACCGGTACATCTTATATAACATCTGATATTACATGTTAAAACCCCTTATTTCTCTCACCATTTCAAAAAGCCTTCTTATAAGGAACCGTTTTCGTATTCGTGGAGATCGTGGGAAGTTGAGCTGGTAGCAAAGAGTTGGAGCAAACACAAAGTAGTACATGTCTAAAGAAAAATACACAAGATAGGTCAACGGGTGATTGAACACCAAAGACAAAGAGAAGTCCAGTAGCCTTTCATTAAATTCCTAAATTGTGCCTTTGACTAGATTTTTGAGAATCTACAGCAGTGTTTACATCCTAGATTTAACCAGGTTATTGACTAATCCACTACTAATATAACACAGACTAATAAACAATGTTATTTCAAAGACTGGCTGGGTTTGATGTAAACATTAAAATCCTCATTAATGATAAAACAATTTCACAGAATATAATTGCCCATTATCTTTAAATATATTTGAAGACACATTTTTTAAATGCATGTATAAGTTTTCACGTCAATCTCCTCTTGCTTTGTTCAGACAAAAAGTGCAGCCCTGATGCTTACTGTACCTCTGTGTGTCAGGTTCCCTGGGTAGGGGACAAGAGAATGAACTGCTGAGCCATTTGATTGTTGAACATCTGGACCTACAAAACAAAGAAGAAGAATAAAAACTCCTTTAACCATCTCCTTTTAAGGATTATCTGCCTGCAAATTATTTATATAAAAGGTAAAACAGATTGAGTTGTAATATTTACCTCCACCAAGGAGGTTATGTTTTAAGGAGAGTCTTGGTCTATCAGTACGGGATAGCTTAAAAAGTTCTCGACTGATTTTAATGACATCCTTATCAAAGGTGACGCTCATGTCATTAAATTTGGTGATGATTCAGATTACAAGCTGGATTAGGGCTGAACGATTTTGTCAAAAAGCTAAATTGAGTTTTTAACCAATATTGCAACTGCCATTTTATGTAAAATTTTCTTTGCACTACCCCAAGCTTTTGAATGTGTCACCCCAGGATCTCAGTATTTTAAAAGCTTGCTTGTCTGGAGTTCATTGTTGCAGGAATTTTCTGTAACCTTTGTGCGGAAAAAGTTGCATTTAACTCGCATGTAGGGATTTGTGTGCTTGCTGCAACTCTCTATCTCTCTGTGTGGCATCAAACCCGAATTAAGTGTATTACTGCCACCGAAAGGGCTGGAGTGAGAAATTTTGTGTCTTAGTCTTGTTAAATGTAATGCAAGTAAAATTGAGTGCCCCTGCAATTTGAAAATTGCATTTATTTAAATTTCGTTCATATTGTAATTGTAATGAATTGGCCCACCATAATCTGGATAGGGGAATTTTTAAAAGATTCTCCAACATTGTGAGATAGTGACAATTGGTGGGACAAGCAGTTCCCCACTAAACAAGAGGGTGGCAGCAGAGTATTGACAGCCTGAGTATTGGACTAAAAAAGTCTGATATTTTACTTAAAATAAAAACACAAGAAAACGAGGAGGATGTCTGTGCTCTGAGTGCTTTTCTAGTTTATTTCCACTAATTGCATACACACATTTTTGCAACACCAATAGATAATAAAGACACTCTTGAATATAAATTAAACATAAATAAACAGAGCTAGATCTAAACTTCTGCACAGAAGCATTCACTTACATGAATATGATCGTGTTAGTCTTTTAGCTTTGGCTTGTCTGATTTCTCTGCACCACCTGTTGGCGTCCTGATAAGAGTAAAGCTTGAGAAACAGCACTGTGTAGATTCCTAGAGAAAACACCCCACCCACTGACAAACACAAACACACCACCACATGAACAGTTAACAAGAATGAATAACCAAAGATAAACTCCAAAAAAAAAAAAAAAAAAAAAAAAAAATTATATATACAGGTGCTGGTCATAAAATTAGAATATCATGAAAAAGTAGATTGATTTCAGTAATTCCATTTAAAAAGTGAAACTTGTATATTATATTCATACATTACATACAAACTCATATATTTCAGATGTTTATTTTGTTTAATTTTGATGATTACAAATGACAACAAATGAAAATCTCAAATTCATCATATCAGAAAATTAGAATATTGTGAAAAGGTTCAAAATTGATGGCCCCTGGTGCCACACTCTAATCAGCTAATTAACTCAAACCACCTGCAAAAGCCTTTAAATGGTCTTTCAGTCTAGTTCTATAGGCTACACAATCATGGGGAAGACTGCTGACTTGACAGTTGTCCAAAAGACGACCATCGACACCTTGCACAAGGAGGGCAAGACACAAAAGGTCATCGCTAAAGAGGCTGGCTGTTCACAGAGCTCAGTGTCCAAGCACATTAATAGAGAGGCGAAGGGAAGGAAAAGATGTGGTCGAAAAAAGTGTACAAGCAAGAGAGATAACCGCACCCTGGAGAGGATTGTGAAACAAAACCCATTCAAAAATGTGGGGGAGATTCACAAAGAGTGGACTGCAGCTGGAGTGAGTGCTTCAAGAACCACCACACACAGACGTATGAAAGACATGGGTTTCTGCTGTCGCATTCCTTGTGTCAAGCCACTCTTGAACCACAGACAGCGTCAGAAGCGTCTTGCCTGGGCTAAAGAGAAACAGGACTGGACTGCTGGTGAGTGGTCCAAAGTCATGTTCTCTGATGAAAGTAAATTTTGCATTTCCTTTGGAAATCAAGGTCCCAGAGTCTGGAGGAAAAGAAGAGAGGCACTTCATCCACGTTGCTTGAAGTCCAGTGTAAAGTTTCCACAGTCAGTGATGGTTTGGGGTGCCATGTCATCTGCTGGTGTTGGTCCATTGTGTTTTCTGAGGTCCAGGGTCAACGCAGCCACATACCAGGAAGTTTTAGAGCACTTCATGCTTCCTGCAGCTGACCAACTTTTTGGAGATGCAGATTTCATTTTCCAACAGGACTTGGCACCTGCACACAGTGCCAAAGCTACCAGTACCTGGTTGAAGGACCATGGTATCCCTGTTCTTAATTGGCCAGCAAACTCTTCTGACCTTAACCCCATAGAAAATCTATGGGGTATTGTGAAGAAGAAGATGCAATACACCAGACCCAACAATTCAGAAGAGCTAAAAGCCACTATTAGAGCAACCTGGGCTATCATAACACCTGAGCAGTGCCACAGACTGATCGACTCCATGCCACGCCGCATTGCTGCAGTAATACAGGCCAAAGGAGGCCCAACTAAATACTGAGTGCTGTACATGCTCATACTTTTCATGTTCATACTTTTCAGTTGGCCAACATTTCTATAAATCCTTTGTTTTTATTGGTCTTCAGTAATATTCTAATTTTCTGATATGATGAATTTGAGATTTTCATTTGTTGTCATTTGTAATCATCAAAATTAAACAAAATAAACATCTGAAATATATGAGTTTGTATGTAATGTATGAATATAATATACAAGTTTCACTTTTTAAATGGAATTACTGAAATCAATCTACTTTTTCATGATATTCTAATTTTATGACCAGCACCTGTATATATATATATATATATATATATATATATATATATATATATATATATATATATATATATATATATATATATATATATATTTGGCTTTGAATAGTCAAGATGAACATTTTGAGATTATGTCCTCTTTTAGTTGTTTTAAGCTAAAATTACAATTCTGCAAAAAGTCACGGTGAAAGCGTAGAGTTGGCATGTTTTGTATTTAAACATACCTGGGGTCATGGAGGTCACAGTGAGGACTATGGCAGAGGAGAAAATCAACATGCATACAAGGTTGAACATGTGGAGAATCCATCCTGTAGTTTCAGAGATCGTACCCTGGCAAATATAACAGAGTGTGCGTCATCTCTCTACCCTCCATAGTCCAATCTAGGTCAGAGTTTCTTGCCTTATCAGAGCAGTTAGAAATATGAGGACTGGTCGACTAATAAAGCATAAAACAAAAGCCATAAAAGAACGCCATAAAGGCAAAGCTGATTATGATGCTTGAAAACAATAAGAAGAAGTTTAAACTTTCTAAAGTAAAAAAAAAAAAAAAAAGGCCTTAATATACAATAAAGACCTACCACCGCCAGACGCCTCTCTACATATAAGCTTGTCAGGATGAACAGGTTGGACCCTGAAGCAAAGAGGGAAAACCGGTTTATAGGCTTTCTTGATGACTTCTTAAACACATTTATAACATATAATACATAACTTTTCTATATCACTCCAACTATATACAGAAATATAGTAGCATGAGAAGTACAGGTGAAGCTTTTATTTATCTACATTTACAATAATAAACTCTGCAAATGCCAAATGCCATTAAAAGTATCTAAAAAAGCAAAGATTTATAGTAGAGCATATCTGTAAAAAGAAGCAGTTAAAGGCAAAGAACTCATAACTGGTTGTGATGTGGGGCAGTCTTGTTTCTCTCCACTGTCGCCACATGGTTCCTCAGAAGGAAGAGGAGGCTTTTCTTTTGTTTTTAAGCTGAATCTGACTGTTCTGTATTATCAAGGACTTAAAAAGGAATCAAATGTAGTTGAATTTTAATCTCTCTATATGACTGGATTACATATTTCTAAACTGCACCCAGTGAACAAAAAAAGCTATTTGTCTAGCAAATACTTTAGGCTTCTAATCTTATGAAACTAATTCTATATTGTGATTATAAAATAAGGATTTGATCTGTACTGTCCTAAAATATTTTGTCGGCATATTAGATGAATAAAAGCTGTACTGATTTTATGTTACTCTGCTGTTACTGCAGACTTAAAACAAGCGAGTTCTCACTTTCTTATGGTTCTACTTAGAAATTCAATTTACTGCATGTTTAAACCGATGCAACACAACAGAAAAACACCTCCATGCTGTTTTTCAAAAGGGATGAATTGAAATTATTTTTTTCAGTAAAGGGCAGACAGTTTTTGGATCATTTGAGCATCACTTCCAGATATTACATCTCTCCTTCTGCAGTGCTCTACAATTAGTACAATAGCGCTATTATGTGGATTCTCTTATTCTATTGACCTTATAAAAAGTTCAAAAACAACACAGTAAACAAGCACAATTAGTTCCTGCTACTGAGATCAGACCTAAATCGGTTTTATACCCTATCCAGTATGTAAAAATAGAAGATAGCAAATAGTTAAATGACTTGTTCTCTAGACCTCACCTTTCTAAAAATAAGTTGGTAATTAAATCCACAGAGATGAAAGCCATTTTTTTGCATTTCAATTGTGTTTTAGAGGTTTGTCTGTGCCTGAGAGGAACAGTGACACCATGTTTAAACTGACAAATTCACAAATTTAATGTAAAAAACCCCCAAAACAAACAAGAAAAACATTGGTTTATATTAGTGCAATAAAAATAAAGCTACATACCAATTATTAGGCAGGCTGCTGGCCAGCTATAAGGGTCCTTTAAGAAAAGAGACACTACTTGGATCGGATCTACTAGAATGCCATATCTGGAGGAAGAATACAAGATAAATTAGTTCTACAGTAATGTTTTAAATAGGAAATAGTATGATAAATAAAGTGAAATGAACAGTGTGGATTAGATGGAATTATGATTCTGTACAGTCATGCATTAATTTTTAAATACACAGTATATTCAAAGAGAAGAAAACATTTATTGAATGAATTCATAACTCAAATCTTTGCAAAAAAAAAAAAATCTTATTCGTAATAAGAATGGACTGCATGTATCTAAAGTTAGTCGACCAAAGATATCATAGCAGAACTGGATTTACATTCAGCTCCTCGTTTGGACCAGTCACAAAAAACATCTAAAGGGGAAATATGTGAAATTTGAAATAAACTGGTGGAGAGGTCGCGGAGATCAATTGTTACTCTGGAGATTTAAAAAAAGACATTTTCTTAAGCGATTTTATAACTCATAACCAAAATCAATCAGCCTAAATGGTATGGTATGCCACTTTTTCTTTCCCGTTTTTAAAAAATAACAAAAGGGGACCTCTGTATCACACTAAATTTATTCTCCAGAGAATAAGAAAGTAATGGATTACAAAATAAAACATTTTAGAGATGCTGAGGTTAAATTTCTTTTAGAAGTCATTAGAATGACAAATACTGTGACAACAGTGATTTTGTAAAAAACAAACAAACAAATAGGAAACGATTATGGTAAATGGAAGCATTTTCATTAAGGATGACAATAAGTGCCGAGGTCACCGCTAAGTAACTGTTAGTTCAAAGTTTTTAATAATTAATGATTAGTTGGAAAACTGGAGGAGGGAAATTTAAATAAAAACATGTAAGTGTTCTGGTAATATAGTCTGTATAAATGTGGCTTTTGTATTTGTGAACACTCACTTGATAATGTTCTCCAAGAAGAGTCGCGCGTTACTAAGCACCTAGAAAATAAAGCAGTAAATGATGAGTTAATTACAGTCAAAGAGGAAATCTTTTCTCCAGGCATTTCAGTGAGACTGAACTTTGCTAAGACGATAAAAAATTCTCCCTTTTAAATCTCCTAAATCGTTTCCCATTCTATAAACTCTCAGATTAGCCATGCAGACTGACCTGTTTTCCTTTCACTGAAAGCTGAGTTACTGATTATTCTAAGCAAGAACAGGATGGTTAAACAGTCATTAATTTAAGGACCCTTATTTACTGTTTGTACATTTACAATTGCACACTTGAGATTGCGATACTGGCTTGAATCCATTTGCTGTACATGCCACACCCACATTTTTATTATTTTTTACAAATCAATACATTTCCTTGGTGTCTAATTGACTGTGCTGTTTCTTGTGGTTGTATTCTGTGGTTTCCTCTGTTGTGCTCTAATGCCCTGATCTGACATTATAAATACCCTTGTGTGTCATTTATTTATTAGACCAGTTATGTTTTGTTTGTGCTTTCTGATCACTTTTAGGAGCTCATAATGGGTGGTAAAAAAAACAAAAAAACAATAACTATACATCTCATAATTCCCATTACTCCTGCTTACAGGCATCAGTCCATCTGTAGAACATGGCAGCTCATTCCTGCTGCCATCCCAACTGCAGTCATACAAGATCCTGCTGTTGCTCCTGATGTTGGTTTAAAACACTTTATGATATTGTTACACATTTAAGTTCAAAGTTCAGCTTCACCTCAGCTTCTAGGAGATAAAACTGATTACAGACTCAGCAAAGAGGCAACATGTTTAGATAGGTCTTTGGCATGCATGGTTATCAGAAGGCAATATTGGGATAAGTGTGTCATCTGAGGTATATGATACAGTCATGTTAAAGAATAGGGGGGGCAGCTTGTAAAAGTCCTGCAGAATAAAATAGTTAAATTCTCATTGCGTCTCCTGTTAGAACCTTCTTGTATTTTTGCTAACCTTTGCCATGGTAACCTTTAACATAAGCAAGAGGGCCATCATGTAAAACAGAACAAAGGGATCATTGGTCTTTGCCAAGCAGAGGATTGCAAAACGGGTTTCTGCAATAGTTTAGCTCTACCAGTGTGTCTATTTTCTGAAAGGACTGAGAGGTTAGTATGTAAGGAGAGCTCCTATTCATAATATACAGGCCCCCGCTAACTCACATCTTAACAACAGCATAAGTTAGTAGAACTATGCAGCTCACACACAGCTATACATTATGATGTCACCATGTGACTATGAACCCATTCAATAAATCACTGCATGATAAGGCAACATTTTTCCAGACAAATTCAAACAATTTTAATAGTTTTAGAGCAAAAGCGCGTTCACGACTCTACGGAAACCGCGGCAGACCAAACCAGATGAAAGTGCGCATTCAGCATCTGCTCTGCCGATAATGCAAGCGTAGAAGAAGAAATGTGCTGTTTACCTGTGCAAAGAAAGAAACAACGAAAGAAAAATGTCTGAGGACTTCAGTGTTGAGGAACAGCATGAGTTCTTTGCCGAGCTGAATGCGCACTTTCATCTGGTTTGGTCTGCCGCGGTTTCCGTAGACTCGTGAACGCGCTTTTAGGAAATCCTATACACTACTGTTGACTTCGTTTCAAGTAAATTATGGACGCTACCCACTCAGGACACTTGGAATACATTGGACGAGCAGTATGGAGGAATATTGACACGTTTTTTGTGGACTTTTATGGACCTTTCTGCCTCGGGCGCCATAGACCTCCATTATTTGAATGTCAGCAGACAGCAAGAAGCCTCCCAGATCTCCAGATGCATTTGAGATATCAAAAAAGTACTTCAGAGTGTTGTTCAGCATGGGGGTGAGTAGAAAATGAAGGCTAATCATGTTTTGGGTGTACTATTCCTTTAAGTCTTCAGTGGACGTTACTTTATAACCCCTCATGGCTAGAGTTACCCATTTTGTATGTGCACCTTTAAAACAAACACGTTGCCCTTCCCCTAGATTTTCCAATAAAATGTATGGCGGGACCACTATTATGTTCTCACATAATTTTTTTTCACCATTTCAAACAACCTATACTAAAGATGTTATTACCCTTCTCTCGATAAAATGTATGTCATTGTCATTAGATGAGAGGACAAGAGAGGTGGGACATTTAGTGATTGGTAGGATAAAAATAGAAGGAGATACTCTAACTGCATGAACTTTGTCCTACTAACACACAATTTTGATTCGGAAACACAGCTGCTATTAAAGGCCAAATTGTCAATTGATTCTGACAGGACAAAAGATAGCAAGTTATATTTTGGACTGAGTTAGTTTTACTTGGTGATCTTGCAAGTCTTAATCTCAGATTATATATAAACACAATTTAAACCAGATCTTAAGAAAATAAACACTTGCTTTTTCACAATTACTCTTTTGTTCCCAAGTTAATTTAGGAAAATAAAACAGAAAGATAAGCATAAATGTGTGGTATTTTCAAAAATATTTATACTTAATGTAGTCCAATGAAGAATATAAACATAAATAAGCTATATAACTTAAAATTTAGACTTTTATTAGCTAGTAAATAGAAAAATTAGACAACTAATGAATACAAATTAGGCAGGCAAATTATTGGCTCAGTGTTTTATCTTCTCTCTGAGCATTAGCTCTAAAACAGAAAGCAAAGCAAGCTGGTGACCACAGAGCAAAACAGGGTGGTTAGAGGAACAAAAGCATTCAAACAGGATTAATTTAGTCACAGTATGCAACTTAGGTTTGGTTTTAAGGAAAAACAACTCTGGAATAGTTTGCTGTAGGCAGCTTTTGATCCTCACTGATTGCCATCGTGTGAGCTAAAGATTTATGAGCATACATTAGTAAAAAATATTACTTGTTAGAATTTTGTTTAATATTAAGCAAATTAAATCCAATCTGAGAAGAATAAAAAAAGAAACTCTGGAGAACAGATGCTGCTTAAAACTGCTGGTCTTGATCATGCATGTATTCCATTATTAGACAGTTAGGAAAAACCATAACAGTAAATTAGATCAGAAACTTTTCCAAAATGCATTTAGGATTACTTTCTTAATGCAAATCTATTTAGTTTATGTAAATGACATTTTGACTAACAATTGGATACACAAAGAATTTGTTTATCTGTACCAAAAATGGAAACTTAACAGGGTTGATCATTAATCAAACAATGGCACTATAACAGCTACAATACACTCAAATAGGAAGAACTGCAATCATACATTTTACCTGCAAGCCTGTTGGACATATAATGTTCCAACAGCCCCCAGCACCTACTTATAAAATGTAATATCTCATTTCCAACTGAGTGAAAAAACAACTGATGGAAGCTGGGGCCCATTACGCAACTACAGCTGACGGAGAAATGTGTTAAACTTCTGTGTCTGTTTCAAGAAGAAAAATACTAAAAATTGGACATTAAAGCTCATGGATCTTTTTCCCAGAGTCATTATTTAGTACTAATAGACTAAATATCACCAGCCTGTTACTGAATCAGTTTAAATTTCCACATGTAGGCCAAAGGAAATGTGCCAATAGAGAAACTCATTTTTAAAAATCATTGCCCACACAGTTACTCACCAGCATGACGACACACCAGTTAAGGATTCCTCTGTAGTTGCTATAGCCGCTGGCTGAGCTCAGGAGAGATTCCTGAAGAATGTGGCAGCTGTAAAACAATATGAATATAACACTTTCAGGATTTCAACTTTTAATGCCCATCATTCTGTTTGTTTAGGGATTAAATAAGTATTGAACAAGAAAAAAAAAGTCATCTTTGAAATTTTTATATAAAAAGACATAAATTGATCAAAATGAATTTACCATAAAATATACAACATACTTATATATACTCTATATGCTCTCTGAATTTATTTTAATATTCTTGTTAACAACTTATTCAGTGTTAATTAATAACAAATCTACCTGGGTAGACCATACCATATTTTGCATTTTTTTAAAGACACAGCTGCTGCTCTGCTAAGCTTTTAATAATATATTAGACTAAAGTCTTCCTGTACCCCCTAATTGGGAGATAATTTGCCCTGAGTAAGTCACAAGTCACCATGATCCAATATCTACTGCATAAAGCAATGAAAGAGTTTTAAACGAGTTGTTAAAAAGGTGGGTTGAAAAGGCAAGGGATCAAAAAGAATTGATAAAATGTATTTAGGCTTTTCATTCGATTTTTTTCTTCATGATTATACCTGAAAAAGAGGAAGGAAGGGAAGAGAAAGAAGTAGAGCGGGAAAAGGAAGACATTACAGGGAGAAGATTCAAATGTTAAGCCAGGATAGGGTAAGAGCAATCATTAAAACCAGTCAATGGATTTCCACACAAAGCATTTCTTATAAAGTAGGGGTTTCCAGGTACAACTTTTTCCATTTCTGATAAGACGCTGATATTACAGCTTTGGTTACTGAACAACACTGATAATGACCCGAAATCAGCTCTTATCATTATTTTGTAGTTTGGAATGCTAGAAAATCTTTAAACAACTTAAATACAGAACAAGTCAACTGCTGTTGTAGTAATGTGTCTGCAGGATACAACTAATAAAAATGCTAAAGTGAACCGAATGAAGGTGCAGAATGCTGGAGCTAGGTGATTCAGCATGATATCTGAGATTTTAGATGCAGGCAGATATAATCTGCTATTCATGTTTTGACTGATATCGGCCTGATTTTCAATATCAATATCAAATTGAGACATCCCTTTTAAAAAGTGCAAGTTTTCTGCACTTTTTATACTTGATATAGATATTTATAACTAAGGGAAGGAGTGACTAGAAAAAAAAATAATAATAATCCCATTAATGCTGGACAATATCCTTTTTTTGAAGTTTACCATTAACATCAGTTAAAAGTTAGGGGAAAATAATTTGATGCATGACTGACCTACATTTACATAGTTTTGTTGGATTAAAATCTACTAATGCCTTTTATCTATCAGAATTTTGGCAGCACATGATGTCTCCTTGAGAAAAATAAAGCTTATTAGTTCGATATCAGAATTGGTAGGTATGACTGTAAAAAGACTGGATCAGGAAAACAATTATAGGTGCATCTTTAATATTGGGAGCAAACATATTGTGTCCAGTTTAGCAACAAGTTAGTCCTCTTAATCTAGCTGGTTTTGTGATGTAGTCTATATGATGATGGCAACTTTTGATCCAAGAGGTAAATTTGAGGAATTAAAGCTGTAGCTGTAAGTAAGAATAGATTTACTGATAAAAAGACCACTGCTGTCTTAGGTGCACTTACTCTCACTTTCATAGTAATTTCAATGAATGACAGAGTAGCACATAAATATAAAGTTAAAGGAAAATGTGAAAGTTTTTATTCTTTTGCTATTACAAATCTTAAAGCAGTGGCTTAGCTCTGGATTTTGCACCATTTACCAATTCTGATAGGAGTTACAAGAAGGCCATGATTGAATGACAGCAACAAGGGGCCCAGTAGACCATGAAGGAATCCAGCAAACCTGTAAAAATCTGATAAAACTGAAACACAGATGATGACAGGTGACTCCTAATACCCCCAGCTCAGCTGTTGAACATGGTGGTAGAAGTATCAGGCTATGGGGTTGCTATTCTTTAAAAGGGGTTGATGGGAAGATGCATGGAGTTAAATACAAAACAATTTAAGCTTGTAAGAATTCTGCACCTGAGAGTTGGTTAGACCATCACCAGCTGCAATATGCGAACTAGTGACACAGCTGAATGAAAAACTAACCACACTTGCAAAATATCTAAACGTTATCTGATATGTGGTAAACATGTAACCCAATAAAAAAATGAATGAGGCATTAGATTGAATAATTAGAATATAGTCTACTTTATAGCCAAAATAAAAGCTGGGTGTGATAGTGAAAATGTATTTCCAGATAAAGAGGATGCAAAGGAACATATATTTACTTTATTTTGGATATTATCCCATTATTAAATGCGCACCATAAAAAAACCCAGATATGTTATTAGCCTACCAACATCTCAGAGGTAACAGATGTGTAGAATTTTACGTAGGCCTAAATAATATTATTAATAATAAAACATTTCAAAATAAATGACCTGAGTTGGTCGTTGATGTCTTCCACAGCACTCCTCTGGCTGCTCCTGGACTGAGGCTCCTGTTTTCTCCCTGACTCCTCTCTGTCCACATTCCCATTGCTGCGCTGCTTGAAAGCCGCTGGTTTGGCTGCAGCAGAACCCACAGGAGGTTTCCCCCCTGCATCCTGCACCTTGGTGCCGTTGGCTTGTTTCACGCTGCCCGCTCCTCCACTACCGGAGGTGGTGGTCCTCCTCCTGCGTGTTGCGGGCCCTTTCGCGTCGCTCATTTCTGCGCTTTTCAGTCACGCAGCTTCTATCTACACGGCATAGCTGGTATATAACTGTCGCTCCCTTTCTTTCTCCTTGCTGGAGCTCTATAACCCTGCTGGTGATGAAGGGGGAAAAGCAGGTTATTATTACCACTAAAGCTCAAGGTGCATTGACTCTGCTGGGTTGCCAGATCTCCGGTTCTTTGAGCAAACGCCTCCTCCTATATTACAGACGCGCATAACAACTTCCGCATGTGAAGCGGTTCCTTTAAAAGTGATTTCCTCATCAGCATAAGAGATCTTTGAACCGCTCAATGCGTCAAAAAAAGCTTCTGATGTCTTGTTTTTACCAGATTGTCCAGCAATGACTGCCCAATTTAATCTTAAAGCAAGTGATGTTTCTCTTGTAAGGAAGAGGATTAGGGCCACTGAAAAAATAAAAAGTGAACTGCATTTTTTATTTAATTTCAGTGTAATATTAGAAAAACAAGTCCGAATTCTGACTTTAATCTCAAAATTCTGACTTTTTCTCAGAATTCTGACTTTAATCTCAAAATTGTGGCTTTAATTTTAGAATTGTGACTTTAATCTCCGAATTCTGACTTTAATCTCAGAATTGTGATTTTTTTCTCCGAATTCTGACTTTAATCTCAGAACTCTGACTTTTTTTCTCAGAATTTTGACCTTATTTTCAGAATTCTGACTTTAATAGCAGAATTGTGACTTTTTTCTCAGAATTCTGACTGTATTCTCAGAATTCTGACTTTAATTTCAGAGTTCTGACTTTAATAGCAGATTTGTGACTGTTTTCTCAAAATTCTGACTGTTTTCTCAGAATTCTGACTTTAATTTCAGAGTTCTGACTTTAATCTCAGAATTGTGACGTTAATCTCCAAATTCTGACTGTAATCTCAGAGTTGACTTTTTTCTCAGAATTGTGACTTTTTTCTCCGAATTCTGACTATAATCTCTGAATTGTGACTTTTTCCCTCAGAATTCTGACTTTAATCTCAGAATTCTGACTTTAATCGCAGAATTGTGACGTTAATCTCCAAATTCTGACTGTAATCTCAGAGTTAACTTTTTTCTCAGAATTGTGACTTTTTTCTCCGAATTCTGACTATAATCTCAGAATTCTGACTTTATTTTCAGAATTGTGACTTTAATCTCAGAATTGTGACTTTAAACTAGTGTTGCGCCGATGCCATTTTTTGGCCCCGATACCGATACCCGATACCATGCAGTGCAGTATCGGCCGATACCGATACCATAATAATGTAAAATAATTGCCATCATGGCTTTGTCAAGCTGCTGCCTACCTTTGTGAAGCAGTACAAAAAAATCTGATACAAAGTGAATCCAGTAGAACTTTTTATTGCTTACCAGGAGTGGGTGACAATAGTTGAATAAACTTATGGCTCTCAAAATGGTATCGGTGCCCTATTTGTTGGTACTCGCCGATACCGATACCACCATTTTAGGGCAGTATCGGGGCCCCGTCCGATACTGGTATCGGTATCGGTGCAACACTACTTTAAACTCAGAATTGTGACTTTATTCTGAATTCTGACAGCTAGTAAACATGTAAGCATCAAGCCTTAGCCATGTCTGTTTTAAAGACTAAACTAGCTTTGTTGTTTTAATGAGCTTCTGCTCCTCCATTAACGAAATAACATCACCAGGGACCCTCGGGCATGTCATTTTTCACTAATGTGTTACTGGCCCTCCCAAACAACTCACATCTTTGTCAGTGAAGCTGACAGGAGTGTCTTGCTTCTCCTCACACTTTCACTATGTCTCACATTTGTGGAATGTCATGCAAATTTTAAAATATATGGGGCCACCAAGGCTCCTGAGATGGGTTAGTTGGTGTGGGGGGAAAGTTTGTTGATTGCTGTATGTTTTATATGCAGTATGAAGCAGATTTATTCCACTTTTAAGGAGGATGCTGCCCAAGAGAGGTTTAATGGATTGGAGAAACAATGTATTTATTTATTTGTTTATTTAATCTTGTGTCCCTTACTCTCAAGATGGTTTTACTAATAATAAAATTGTTGGGCAAGAATAAACACTTTAAATGAGCTGTACAAATGTATTCAGATAGGTGGCAAAGTGCTTTAAATAACCGTAAAAGGTTTTAAATTTGGTTCTAAAAGTCACTTTCGATATTCTAACAGGGGGACAATCTGCAGGACTACAAATACTACAATCAAGTTAGGTTGCCTTCCTCCTCGTCACTCAGCCAATTACTGGGATGTCACGTGATAATTTCGTCCAATCGGAGTGTGGCAGACAGTTGCTAGGTTGACTCAGTCGGTAACAGCTGTTGACAGGAGCGGTGTCGTTTATATGAATTTACACACGCATACAATTGGCCCCCTTTTTGTATTAAAATCCTGTTTTTAATGTTTTCTTTTTTATATGGAACACCGTTTTAGTAACAGTTTAGTAGCCTTTATTTAAAAGGAATGAGAAAACACAAGAGGAAGAAACAAGGAGGATTTGGGGGCAGTGAGAATGGATGTGTCACAAGAGGTTAGTGCATTTCATTGCTAACACCTTTGTGTACATAAAAAGGCTTTTCTTCTACTAAAACTTAACCAGCAATTTTAAAGTTTAGGGGTAGTAGATAAATCGTTAAGTTAACAAGTCCCAGGCTTAAATATCATTTTACGTAAGCATCCAGGACTGGATACTAATCTGGGGTTAAAGGAGTTTCCCTTTTATCTGACAAAAATCACCCAAAATCTTTTCTTCACAAGATTTAATCTGGGGGACAAAAAGAAGAAAGAAATGAATGTCTAAGTGGTGCTTGCGTGGCACTCTGAGCTGCTAGAGCTGAAACTATCCTGAAGAATGACGGAAGTATGGATTTAATCCACAGAGAACCTGTCATTTGTGTCATTGTCCAGATTTCCAGACAAAGGCTCTTATATAACTAAAAGTCTTCAACTCACTGAGTCACTGAATTGTTTGTCTCAGTTCTATAGTCAAATGACATAAATCCTCATGATTTTACTGGGTTAATATTATTATCATTGTATTAGAATGTTTAATTATTTTCATAACTTATGTGCCTTAATATGGATTCTATTGCTTTGATATCCAAATGTTTACAAGAATATTTAGATTAAAGAGGACCTTTAAAAACAGTATTAACTGTTTGTGCTTTGTTACAAAATAAATATATTACCCATTTGAGTGGCAATTTGAAAACTGAAATTGATATATAGCTGATCAGTGGAGCAGTGGGTAGCACTGCTGCAGCAAGAAAGTTGAGGGTTCGATTCCCGGCCCGGGTTCTTTCTGCATCGAGTTTGCATGTTCTCCCTGAGCATGTGTGGGTTCTCTCCGAGTACTCCAGCTTCTTCCACAGTCCAAAAACATGACTGTTTGGTTAATTGACCTCTCTAAATTCTCCTTAAGGCGTGAGTGTGTGTGTGTGTGAATGTATTGTGCTGCGATGGACTGGCGAACTTGTTCAGGGTGCACCTCGCCTCTCGCCCGTAGACAGCTGCACCAGCAGACCTTGCCAGCCCAGCAGGGATAAAGACTGTCAGATGATGGATGGATATATATATATATATGTATATGTATACATTAGTTACACTCGAAAAACAGTTTTTAGAACAATTAAAAAACATTATTTTTTTATTATTACTATTTTTAACATAAAAAAATTGTCAGACGCGTATATTGGTTAGCATCAATTATTAGGTTCACTCAGTAAAACTATTGTCAAATGTTGCGAATTATTCAACCAGCTTGTTGAAGTTGAACAAGGTAAAGGTTTGTGTTGTTCTTTGTAACTCAATCTGTGAATTATTTCAACATTTTGGTAAAAGTTAGTTTAGCTCTGTGAACCTGTGAGTAGTCAATACTAATGTAGCTTTCAGAACAGCTAAAGGTGGCTCAAATACTAATACAGAGGAACTCAAACAGTTTGGAAAACATGGCTATGTTGTTGTTTTTTTTGTTTCCTTGTGTTCGCTGTTGGTAATTTTTTCTAATATCTATTTCTCTCAAAGTCAAAGTCAAAAAGCCTTTATTGTCATTATATTCTGTGACAAATACAATGAGATTTGTCTCTAATAAAATCTCCTTCTGATTTCTTCCAGAATCGGACTGTGGAAGGAAGCATAAACTGACTGTCATTCATCAGGCTTTGATAAGGTTGTAATCAGATTACTGTATATTTTTTATGCAAAAACACACATTGAAATGTTGTTTAAATTGGTTTTAACTTAATTCTGTTAAACTTTTGAACTTCCCTGGTTTACTTTAGTTTGATGTTACAATCCTCCTTTGAAGCTCTCAAAAACTTTGTTCACGCCTGTACTGTGTGTTCTTATTTCTGTTTTCTGGAAAATACGAAAAAATGCCCCATTCTTTTAGTACAAAATGAATTTAATGAGGAATCTTACTTTACTTTAGAGAATTCCATATTGATCTTTTTGTTTCTGAATGGATAGAGATCCAGTGGACATTGAGACCCTGAGGAGAGCTGCTGCCACTAAAGGAGGACTACTGACTGATGAGCTAAGGAGAAAAGTGTGGCCTAAATTACTGAACATAAATGTGTACGACCTACCACACAAACCAGGTTAGTGTATATATATAACTGCGTATATATATATACGTATATATACATATATTAACTGTATTAATGATAGTTACATTAATGTAATTTTTCAATCAACCACTACATAAATCAATGTAGAAAAACCTTATGGAGTGCTCTGCATTCATATCAGAAATCTAGAGAACTACAAACCTAAATGTATGCTATATCATTTGCTTGTATACCTATAAATAATGCATGTTTGTAAATTGGAAAGAAAGTATTACTTGCCTCAAACATTTTTAAGTCTGCAATGCAAATGTTTTTAGCCCCGTTTAATTTGATGCTCCTGAGGCGCATCAAAGTGTGTTCAGATGCGTATTCAATGGTAGAGAGCAGCTTTGCTATATTTGCTGTTATAAGAGGGTAAAAAGTACTTTTTATGCGAGAAAGTTCACCTAAAACATGTTCTTTGCAGTCAGTTCATCAAGATTATGATCCTGGCTTAAAATTTCTCTGTCGGAGCCTTTCAGACCCCCACATACCAGCGCTGCGCTGTCACTGGAAATCAAGCAGCAGCTCAGCCCGGGTCGCCTGGAAATAGATGTTAGCATTTTTCAGGAATGTGGTACAAACTACAGGCACTAGAATAATAAAAGCTAAGACAGGTTTCTACATTAAAAGTTAATTTAGGCCTTCATAAACTGTTTCAGTGGAGGGATTATAGCGATCTGCATCAGCAGTGCTGTGACCGTCTCCCTGCCATCTCCCAGATCAGTTTCTCTGGTTGGTTGATGTGGTGCATCGTGCGGCTAAAATAACATTTTTCCAACTCAAGCATTTGCTGCTTGTGAAGCGAGTCACACACCTCAGATGCTTAGAAGCTCATGAGGTGCTGCCTCAGATGCGTCAAGATGTGCTGCTCTAGAAGCACTACAGGAAATGTTGATGCCCGTCAACCATAGACTTTGCAGATAAAGCGGCTGCTTCTGCTGCTTAAAGTGTGTGTGGTGTGAACGTAGCATTAGCTAGAACATATAGCCAATGAGAGCATAAATTCATCACAATGATGTGGGGCGCACATGGCTCTCAGATCAGGTTGCTTCCTTCAGAATAACTTGATCCTGACTAGTTTTTGGGGCGACAGTGGCGTCGGATGTAGGAGTTTGCCCTGAAATCGCAGGATTGACGGTTCAAGCCACACCCCCGACTTTCAGTGTCGTTGTGTCCTTGAGCAAGACACTTCACCTGCGTTGTCTACTGATGGTGGTCAGAGGGCCCGGTGACGCCAGTGTACGGCAGCCACGCTTCTGTCAGTGAGCCCCAGGGCAGCTGTGGCTACAATGTAGCTTGCCACCATCAGTGTGAGAGTGTGTGTGAATGACTGAATGTATGTGTGAATGACTGAATGTAGTCTAAAGCGCTTTGGTCAAGTCTCCTGACTTGAAAAAGCGTGTTTACCATTTAGTTTTTAGAGGCATGCTGATACACTCAGTCCAATTACAGTTTCATATCAATCCTACTGAAGGTGTTTAGGATATTTTGACTGGCGTGTTTTCATTTAATATTTTAGTCCAATATGCTCTTTATTCAGACCACTTATGTCCAAGCAGGCATAGCTAATGTATCCCACCATGTAAGGACTTAGGAACCAGTTGTAACACAAACAAGAGATTGCCAAAGGATCCTATCACCTGAATGTGTAGTAACTGGCACTGAGGGAATGTACATGTTATGTTGGTAATACAAATAGTTTGTTGCATATTTGCAACCATGAGTGTCAATGGGTTAATATCACCACTTTCACATTTTAATAAAAGAAACTGCCAACATTATTCAAATATTAAATGTAGCGTAGGTATAGCCCAGAGGAAGTTTAGCGAGAGGGTGAATGCAAATATCAATTAAGCAAGAAGCCCATTAAAGAACAAGGAAATCATCATTAGTTGTTCAGATTCAATATGCATTTATTTATTAGATAAAATAGATAATAAAAAATGGAAATAGAATATATTGTACTGACCATAGATGCAGAATATTTATAAACACAATCTATCTTTGTGCAGGAAGTCTTTGTATCTCCATTTAGTATCAGCCACTGAGGCCAAAAAAACGTCTAACAAAAGGGAATCTTAAAGGTAGATTGTCACTCGCTTAACCTGGCTGTAAACATTTTGCTCTGACCAATCAGAGGACAGGAAATGCTTACGTTCAGGTAGGCCCTCTAGCTGGCCCTGTGGGGCAAATCTGAAATCTGATTGGTTGTAGAAAACGTGCCTAACTAATATTAAGTTAACATCAACCAGCCCTGCTGATTCTGAAACCCTGGGCAGATTTGATTGGTATAGCAAGACACTGTGGTTTAGATCTGAATGGACAAAAAATATAGCAATTAAAAACAAAAGACACACAGTAAATGTTGGGTCTAAGTTCACCTTCCACCATCACAGTCACAGTATACGTTCAGCCCAAGGCATAATGTAATGTAAATGTTTAGATCAAGAGTTAAGAATCCTTTTTTAAATGCTCTTAAGTTTGCAAAATAAAAAAAATAAAAACTAAGACACAATCCCATGTCTCTAGATATCCCATGTCTATATATATATATATATATATATATATATAAAATTCAGAAAAACCCATCAATTTCCAGAAGTTTTAATACTTGTGCAAGTTGCTATACTAATGTCGTCATTCTTTCTACTTCAGGTCGAGATGTGAGGGAGAACCACAAGGACTACAATCAAGTTGTCATGGATGTCAGAAGGTCCATGAAGCGATTCCCTAAAGGTGCCTTTATGTCTGTGTTTTCTCCACCCTGTAACTCACTGTGACATTTATCAGGCTTCACCCCTGTACCTGGCACAGCACTGAGTGTTATCTGATAAGGTTAAATAGTTCATTAGCAAAGGTAAAGCTCCACATAGGAAAACCAACTAAAGAAAGAGCTTACTAGCTATAATCACAAATACAGTACATGCAGCCTGTGTAATAATACAGCACAAATGTTTCTCTAAATGTATCTTTATCTTTAAACTCATTAAAAAGAGATATCCTTCTGAGCTCTTTCTAAATGTTGAATCAGAATCTTTCTAAATATTAAATCGGCTGCCTGTGGGATAACTTCATACAGTTGAAGTAGCTGTTTGACCTTATCAGTCACATTACTGTGGAGGAATGCTTTCCTGCCCTGTGACTTTTCCAAACCAATTCTATAATTACCCACTACTCTATAAAATAAATATGTTACTGCTGCTATTATAAATTGCTGGTGCCTGGTAGAGTTTTAGCTATTATTAGCCAATGAATTAATTAGAATGAATGAATGAGGGAACCTTCTGAGCAGTAAAGAACAGTATAATCTTTAAATGCTGTGAACTTAATTAAAAAAAAACAACAGAAAAAGGTACTTTGTTTCTTGCATCAGTGTTTTTATGCTTCTTTCTTCTGCTTTCTGAAGGTATGCCAGCCGCAGAAAGAGCCGTGCTTCAGGAACAGCTGATTGACATCATCCTGGAGGTTCTGAAACATAACCCTCAACTCCACTATTATCAGGGCTACCATGATGTGGCTGTGACTCTGCTGTTGGTGGTTGGGGAGCGGATGACCATTGCCTTGTTGGATAAATTGTCCAATGTCCATCTCAGGTTAGCTTATTTTTCACAGCCGCTGATTTAAAGGTTTGCACGTTAAAATATTTGAAAAAAGTTATTCAATCTGTTATGTTTTTTTTTCCTTCTAGGGATTTCATGGATGCAACCATGGACAGCACCAAACACATACTGAACTACCTAATGCCCATATTGGAACAAGTTGATGTTGAACTGCATGACTTTATGAACAGGTATTGAAACAATGACAGGAAATATGGAATTTTTTTAGGATATACACAGTAAGAAATTGGGTGTTAATAATTCGGATTTACTTATTTAACTCTAAATGGAGTCTTTACCCTCTATGTTGAGTGTAAATCTGCACAAATGTTGGAGTTAACAATCAGTGTAAAATTTGAAGTGTAACTTTTACTCTATATAGTGTGGGTTACCCACCAGTCTCTTCTTGGCGGGTAACCGAGGTCTTCTTGATTTTGACACTAATATGAGTAAAATTAACTCTGAAACAATCACTAGCTACAAAATAAATTTTGCACTAATTTGGGGTGAAACTAAATGTTATCTGAAACAGAGTTATATTCAACTCTATAGGTGTTAAAGTAACACTTTTTTTTTTTTTCCCTTGTAGGTGTCCACTAATGGGAGCCACAAAGTAGATTTTATGAAATTTGTTTTGCAAAATTGATATAATTAAGAGCAGTTGTGTTCTTATTGGAAAATTTCCGAGATCAATGTGTGTTAATTGTTGCTGGCTACGTTACACCTCAGGCACACAGACAGAAATAGAAGAAACACTACGGCACTGCTTTAGATCAGGGTCCTCCATTTTTTTTTTTTATTCATAATTTTTTATGTTGGAGAGTCTAAGCAAGGACTCCCAATTGGGGGGACAAGAACAACTCCATAGTTATCCGATCTTAATATAAACCTTTTGGATGCGTGTAAAGACAGGTTTAAAAAGTTTAGTACTTTAGTTTTTATGTGTTTTTTTCCCCCGATTATTGTAGTGGTGCCAGTCGGGTATCTCTCATGACAAGTAGGATTTTTTTCTCTATTCTTAACTGGTCACACAAGGACCATACACTTCAGTGTGTAGACCCTTAGGAACAATGAAACTTTTTTTTCACACATAAAACCAACAACAGAAAATTAGGTTTCACAGTTCTTTTACTTGAAAACAAAAATAGCTGTCACAAAATAAACACAAACACCTTCCCCACATAATAAATGTCCACTTTTTCTCCCAGGTAGACAGGCTCTGACATAAATTGTCCCACAGCAAGAACTGTGAATAAACAAAAAATACATAAGAACCCATATGCAATTTAAGTTCTACAATGCATGACAAAAATCACAACACCACAAACAAACATATGCACAATAGTACTGAGCACCTACATGGACACTGAAGAGAAAAAAAAAAAAAAACGTTCTTGTTAGTTTAATGTGCACACCAGATAATTTCTTGGACGATTGCATGAGTTTTTCAGACATTGTTCATTAAAATGGACGTACATGGACTAATTAGGCTGTATTTCAGTTTGGGCTTCCATACAAAGACATTGCAGCATTGCTTGCAAGATGTCACCATTATGTTGTGTATGAACATCATTTGAAACGTATCCGGAAGCCCTGTGGTCTATTTCGGCGCAAGGGATACACAAACTTTGATTATGTTGTGGCATTAATTCAAACACACCTGTAAACGACTGCTCAACTGAAAAGAATATAGATGGATGTTTGCAACATGTCTGGAAAATTGATTAAATGTTTGTTTGTTTTGTTTTTTCCCCCCTCCCTCTTCAGTTTCCCTATAGGGGCTCAGTAGAGTAAACTTACAGGCCAGGTGATGACATTTTTGCACATAGGCAGGAGCAGGAACAGGTTTTCTTTTGTTGGGTTCACTCGATAAATATATTTAGACTTTATTTTATCGTTTGACAGAGGAGCACAATGAGTAAGTTAGCTTAACTTCATTTTTTTAATAATGGTTAAACTTACAAGAAAATGTTTGAATCTGTGACATCCTCGGCTTTTGGGGCATCCACTGTGACATGTCGGCACGACAGGAGCATACCAGTGGACTTTATTGTACAATAAATTATTATATAAATATATGTTTTAAGAATGAATCAACAGTTGATAATAACCTTGATGATGCTCTGAGGCTCTTAAATTCTTACTTTTGAATATTTGAATTTTTACATGATGTAATACTTGATGAATGCATTTTAGCAGAATTCAAAATCTAAATTTTATTATAATCCAATGTGAATTCTCCAGACTTAAAAGGTTTTATCCTGACTATCTGTTGCTGTTTTGAAAAACAAAAAACAAAAAAAAAAACAATAATCATAATAATAATCAGCTGCTGCAAAAGAAGCTTCTATATCTTTTTAGCAGCTGCTGAAAGTTTTTCTGAATATTGTCTCTTTTAGAGACCCTCCATTATATAACTTCTCACAACTAACACCTAAGACAGTATTTGGTGGAACTTGGCTGATGTTTATCTTTTCTTTTTACTTTGTTTACCAAATTTTTTTAAGTTGAGAAAATACTATTAGTTATATATATATATATATATATATATATATATATATATATATATATATATATATATATATATATATATATATATATATATATATATATATATATTCTTGGATTGCATGTTTTCATGTCTTCTCTGTCTGTGTGCCCTTTCTGTTTCAGGGCAGAGGTAGGAACCATCTTCGCCCTCTCCTGGCTCATCACATGGTACGGCCACGTCCTCTCAGACTTTAAACACACTCTGAGGCTCTATGACTTCTTTCTGGCCTCCCATCCACTTATGCCCATCTACCTTGCTGCTACGGTAAGAAGCTTTTCACATGTGACCATGTCTACACAGACAGTGTGATACTTTCAGTGAAGAAACCACTCTTAAGTATTTTAACATGCTAATTATGTGACATGCATTGACCAGAGATAGTACAGCAAAAGCGACAGGATTTAGCAGAACAGATATTTGGACTTTTGTATCTTGCTGTTGATTTAAGGCTTTGTATGCCCTTTGTTAAAAGGATGGATTTTGGTGTGTTTTGGGAAATAATTTACTTAGATATGTTCTCTGTTTTGTTTTTTATGGTTCTATTAATTTTTGAAAATACTTATTTGATATTCTGTTAAACAATGTTGCTGCTGTGGGTATTTTAGTATCCACTTGTCTCTGTGTTGGAGCTGAATAGAAGGAGGGCTCTGCTTGAAGTCTGGGGCAACAAAGTAGAAATTACATTTTTTTCCCTCTGGGCCTGAGTTCAGGGCACAGCAGGAGGCTTGGATTGGAAATAAATGGGACAGTATTTATCCCAGAAAGAGACGAAATATGTTATATAAGTAAAGTTATTTGAAATAAAGCACGTTGTTTTTTTTTCTTCCCCCAATAGTCATGAACACAGATGTAGCATGTTCATAAGAATTTTACCCTTTTGTATGAAGTGTTTGTGCACTAGATATCAATATCTGTCACAGAAGTCGGTATCCAGAGTACTAAAGTCACAGAATAATGTATAAGGAAAAAAAGATCTAATATGTTTATATCATGCAGCTCTATTTAAAATATATATATACTAAAATCCAAAAGGGTTTTATGGGAAACGGACAGCTGTCCTGACTGATTACTTCTTTAACCCTTTATAGGGCACTCAGTGAAAGAGTGCACTGCAAATAACTGAAATCCAAGTCAATTTTTCCTAAAATAAGTGCATTTTTTTCTTGAATTGAGCAGGTAAGTGAGACAATTTGCCAATGGAACAAGAAATGTACATTTAAAATAAGGGGGAAAAAAATGCTGTCTCCTATTTCAGGTGCATAATATCAAATAATCTGATTTTAAGGATAAAAATGCTCCTTATTTACCTACTCAAATTAAGGGTATATACACTTGTTTTAAAACATTTCCACAAATTTTTAGATCATTCTTGTAGTGTGTTATTGGAATCCAGCACAAGACCTCATTACCTTTGTAACATAAAAAAAATATGGATATTTTGATGGCAAAAATGAATGTCAGGGTAATAACAAAAAACTCCAACTTGCCCGAATATATTAAGAAAAATAACAAAAGTGCTTCTATGAAAAATTCATGAAAAACACGCTGAGAGTGAAAGAAACACTTATTTTTTTCTGGTACAACATAACCTTAGAGGCTCATTAACTTTTTAACTTTTCAATTAGCTTTTTACCTTTTTTGTTTTCTTGACCTGTTAACTTTTTTTTCCAACTTAATTTACAGTAGGTAATATATCATTCAAGGGCTTATCTAATTGGTCAAATGCCAAAATAAGATGTACAGCAATGTAGCAGTATCTTTGCTGAATGACTGGATATAGATCTTGTGCTTCTAGACCTCACTGAGGGACGGGGGGACTCCATTTTTAAGGAGTATGCAAGTGATAAAAAATGGTAGCTTGCCCTATAAAGGGTTAAACTGCAATATCGCCTCTAGAAATACAGCTAAAATGTGTACATTTCTGTCAATTAATTGTCAAAAAAGATGATTTTTTTATGGTCCAGTCTTGTACATTTCTAGCTTTTAGAATGACATGACACATTGGATTTTTTTCTCCTGTTTGCATTAATCCCAGATGAATGCAGCTAATATTTCCATGACCACTTGGCGGCACTACAGCTTAATATAGCGATATATTATCAGCTTACAGTTTTTGAACTTTTTCCCTGTTTCATTACAAAACAGATGATTGGTGCTCTTGTTTTTTTTTTTTCTCCGAATGGGTCATACATTACATAGATATTTTCAACTAGAATATAGCATCCACTCTGGATATAGATTTAGGCAATTAATGTGAAAAATTATACATATTATAGTGCAGCACTACGCTGTTCCTTTAATTTGACCCTTGCTATTTGTGAAATGCAATAATATTTCCTCATGTTTAGATTTGTGCATAGCATTAGATATGTTGGAAGATAAAAAAAGTGTCTAACATAATGAGTGGAAGGGATTGCTTTGCAGAAAAAAATTCTGTAGGCTGTTTTAGTGAAACCTGCAAGTCTGCATCCTTGGTGTTATCAGTTTGTCCTCTTTGGTTTTTCTCCCTTATTTTCAACCCATTGCTCACAATTTGTAAAGACTAAGAGAATAAAGTGTATAAAAGGACTTCCCATTTGTCATTTACTACATTTTAAAAAGCTAACTCACTTAACAGCTAATTTATATTTCCTACCATGTGAGAAACTGAATAGTGGTGAATGTTACTGTAAAAACGGAAAAAAAACCTTACAAGCCAAAATCAGTTTAGCAAGATAGAGTTGAAATTTTTAAAGAAAAATCTAATTTCATCAAATAAAAAAAGCAGTATTATTAATGATGCCTAAATAAAATTTCAGATAAGAGGAAATAGTTTTCCTCAGTCTTTGAACTCTTATTCTGCTCTCATTCTGCTAAACAACTAGGAGGAAAAGTAGTGGTATTTTAAATCCTTTCCATTTCTCCTCCTCAGATCGTGTTACACAGAGAGAAGGAGGTAAAGCAAACAGAGTGCGACATGGCTATGGTGCACCACCTGCTCTCCCAAATCCCACAGAACCTCCCATATGAACTCCTTATTGGCCAGGCCCAGGACCTGTTCGAACAGTACCCTCCATCATTACTGGCCAAACGGGCTGCATTACAGTCTCGTAAGAGGTGAGGGGGCGACGGATAAAATTAAAGTGGTTAATATGGTTATATTACTCTAGTTCAGATCTTTGGCCCTGGTGTTTAAGCTACTTATTAGAAAAACCATTAACAGGCAGATCTGTGTTTATACTGGGTATTAGAATTTAATAGCTGCTTAATCGACCTGGAGCACACAGAAGTAAAGACTCCTCGAAATGACTCTGTTTATTTTCTCTGTAGTTTTTGATTACCTCTTTTACTTTCTGTCATATTCAGTTCCAGCTTATTACTGTGTATCAGTTATTCATTGTCCCTGCAAAACTTCAAGTTTGCTTTTGGTAGGCAAACAGTCTTTTGATTAAATAATCCACATTTGGCCTTTGCATATAAAATATCTATTCATCCATTTTTTTTTCCCAACTGGCCACACAGTTATGTTTAGCTCTAATTAGGGATCCCTTTAAATTTTTCTGAACATTTTCTTAGTGCGAGACTTTCCCAAAAGCCCTTTTTCACATTCAGATAAAACGTTTTAATTCCACAAGAACTCACGTCACACATTAGTGTAGTGTATATAAAAAAATATGATTCATGCCGGAATATAAATTTCTATCAGATTTTGGGAAGCATCATTTTCTGTTTAGTTGTATGTTGATGTTTGTTTACTATCGAGGATCTCCCCACATTACAGAAAGAGTAATGAGATGAAGAGTGTCAAATTTTATGTTGTGATTTCACCGTCTTGTTTATTTTCTGTATTAAATGGTCCGAATTATCTTCCATTAGCAGAAATAATCAGAAGCAGAAGATTTTTTATTTTTTCATCTTCCAATATACTTCTGTGCTGACAGACTATCTGCATTATGCAGCATGAAATAACATAATGTTGTTATTTTGGTATTCCTGCTGCAATGGCGTAAAACCTATAGCATATTTTTTATTAGCCTACTAATGTTTAATGGTTGCGGTCTCTTTCAGCTGCAGATTTTTTAGACATGCTAAATTAAACAAACACTTAACATTATGGCTTAGCTGGGGTTCAAATTATAAATGCAACATAATATATGCAGAACGTTAAGTTTTATATTTGACAGAATGTATAATATTCAGCTCAAATTTCCATAGATTTTTGGTTTAAATTAACACGGTGATAAAAAATTTTAAATGGATGTAGTATTTAAAAGAAACAGTAGAACAATAGTAAAGTGTTTATGACATATAAGCTGTTTGACAGTTATTGTAGACGTACAAGTATAAAAAAAACTAGTCCTTTGATTACTTGGTTCAACGCAGCTTATTTTCCGTTTTTTCTTTCCAAATGAGTTTGATCACAAAGATTAAAATTAATCACTTATGTTTGCTTTGGGTTGTTTGCGCAGTTCCATGTGTGTTCAGTTTTTATTTTTATTTTTTATAAATATCGCTATCGTCTAAACTGCTGTGTGTGAATTTAGACACATGAGGCGCATTTAGGGTTCTCTACTTCAGGAAGCACAGTGTAATTCTTTCAGTAACCAAAAGGGGGAGCTCCTAACTCAAACTCTGACTCCATCACCCAGATATGGCAGTAATTCATGATGTTGGTCTACATGCTTTCTTTGCCCTTTTATTATTGAGGGGAAACCTTTTAGGCAGGCAGGGCCCGTCACTCCCTGTCTCTCCCCTGCTACGAGTGTGTTTCTGCATGTCAGCGTCCTTCGGTGTCGCCGGAAGTCATTGTTTAGGGCAAAAAGTGACACAAGACCTTGAGTGAGACGCTGAAAGATATAAATGTTCCAAACATACATTAGCGTTCCACTGCCTAGAAGCACAGGGATAGTATTTCTCCCAAACACTCTCAACCCTCACTGCCTTACTTGTCTTTATCTATCACTTTATCCATCAGTCTATCTTCTCACCTCCCTATAGGCTTTAGTTTTCTTCTTTATTGATGGCTTACGCTCTCTTTCCATTCATCTTTCTCTCTCTCTCTCTCTCTCTTGATTTCTTGCATCAGCCTGTCCATAAGCAGCTTCCAGGCATTTCATCTCTCCACCCTCCACCAGAGGCCAGACTCTGTTCTCCAGCGCCTCACCAGGGCCCAGGACTCCACCACCTCCAGACATGGTAAAAATAGTTACTGTAATCTTATTACTGCTCTACACATAGAGAGCACTCGCACATTTCACACATACATGTGGAGTAAAGACGTATTGTTGATGCAAAGCCTTTGAAGGTTGCAAAAATGAATATTATCTGTGAAATTTCTGACTACAATCCTTCCAGAGATCTTAGCTTTGGGGGTTTTCCCACCTCAGTGATATAATTCTTCAAAACAAGGCAGCAGTAAACACTTTCCCCTCTGGCACAATCAATAACATGTAAACAAATGTTGTAGCACCCCCATCAGACCAATCAAGTGCAGATTTAAATATGCCAGAACAGAACAAAGAGATGCATTACTCCCGTGTGTTCTGTGGAGATCTGAACAGCAGCGTCTGACATGCTGTCAGTGATTTACACAGACTCTGAGATATTATGTGGCATCAGCTTTAGGGTGAACACTTTAATTATAAACCTGAGGAATATAATTCCCTGCAGTTGGAGCAAAATATTACCAGAAGGTAGAATCATGTTTTGCACATGGAAAACCTACTGAATAAATTAATTAAATTAATGCCAATATCTAATAGTTGAATGGAATACCTGTAATTACCTACTTTTGAAATGTTTTGTTCCCTTGGTTTACATAAAAGTGCTTACATGAGCGAAGATGTGCTGAAACCATATTTTAGTGCCTCAACAAACTCCAGTCTATAAAAATGAGAACTGTTTTCTGTTCTGAACGATAAACTACACAATAAGATATAATAAGAGCCACAGTGCAGATTCATGGGGTTAATTAGATTTCATGTTTTAGCTAAGCACGGTACGTACATTACTATTATTATTTTTTGATGACTTTAATTCCTGCGCTGTGATTAATTGCCGTATTGGTCTCTCTACACCTACTGTTTTGACTTTTCAGATAATCTTTTTTGTTTTTTTTTTCAGTCCAACCATATATTTAAAAGACACTATAGTTATTTGCTGAATTGATTTCAACTCTAATTAAAAATATTTAAAATAAATTTGTCTTTTACTGCATTAGCATAATCTCACTAAATAATCTTGCAAGATGTGGAAAAATAAAACCTCTGCTTACCAGTCAGGTGATTAGAAGTGATATCAAGACAAACAATTCATAGGGACTTCTGTTTACATTTTTAACAGGACAGAAAGTAGTGGGAAAAGGTTTTGCATTTTAGCAACAACCTCTCTGCATACATTTTGTGTAGAATACTGCATATGTAAAAATCTGGTTATTAAACATGGCAGAGAATCAGTGATGCTTAGTGTAATTTTTTTTTTCTCTTCCAAATCTCCTGGGAGCCTCTTTTTAGTCTGTGGCATCATCAGCTTTATGAAATACCCAGAAAATAAAAATAAAAAAGCTGGTGGACTCCAAAATAAACCAGAAATATTGTGGATCAGAGACAATATTGCTTTAGTCCTTAGACCTAAATAATATAAAAGAGAAGAGAAAATTTCTCTGGATGATCAACAGTGTAGTTGTCAAAAGTCTCCTCTGGATCTAGGTTTTCATGCTATAATAAAGATGAATTTATTTGAGGGTTTCATTTAAAGCAACTGTTTAAGCCTTCAACATGGTGACTCCTCCTGACCCCTGCATGTTTCTACCCCTTTTTATCCTTTGACTCTTGTAAAACAGGCCTGGAAGCCTCCTTGCCTGCAGCTCAAGGCCAGTTATGGAGGGAGAGGAACCGGATGATGAAGATGGCGGTGTGGGGGCTGTCTGCTACGCTTGGAGCTGCAGTGTTCGCTGTGGCTCAGACCGCCATGGACTGGGGGCCTGACTTTATACTTCAGCTGTTCTAATGGTGCCGGTAGAAAAGACACACATTTGGAAACATAACCAAACCTAAACAGAAAAAAAAAAAAGCTGACTGTGATGACAATGAGATCGCGTCGATTGAAGGAGGCGGTTTCTTGCTGCCAAACAGGATTTATTTTCCTTCTACAAGAAACAAGAATGTGAGGATTACTGGTTAGGTTTTCTGTAAGAAAGCAGGATATTTTTGTCATTTCGCCATTGTGTCATAAATCAAATGTGGAGGAAATCTATAAACCAAAAAAATGTTATTGAAGCATGGATGAAGTAACAAAAAAGAAGTGACTATAAAGACTTACAAAAAAATCAAAGTGCTGCAAAAACATCTGAACATGCTGTAATATCTCACCATATTCTGCCTTTTCAGGCTTTTTCTTCATACTATGTTTTATCCGTTTCATTGATTAACTTGTTTTCTGTCTGTCACATCTGTTTTGTATGTTTCAGTGAAGAGTCTCAGTGCCCTCGTTGGATCCTCAGCTTTATATATCAAAAAGCCAAAAGTGCCCAAAGCCAGCACCATGACACACAAACACAAATTATTAATAAGAGCTGGTTTTCTGCTGAAAGCCTCTAGTTATGAGTGAAGGAGGAGGCTTATCGCTAGTTCTTTTTTTCTTCTTTTTTTTTTTTGCCTGTAAGCCTTGTAATAATTGCTCCTCTCCAGGTGTCAGCGAGTAACATTTACACTGGAGCTCAACACACAAAAAAAAAACCTTTATGCCCCTCCCCGACAGTCCACCTTCAAAAGCATATGATCATTAGAAATTTCCAATATTTTGGTACCATTTTCCCTTTCTTTTCCCCCAGCTCAGGCAGACCACTGCTGCTGAATGATGGGATGATTCCACTAATTATGTGCTCTTAAAACATTTAACAAGTTTGCACCAAATTCCATCCTGATCTGCTGTCAGTAGAACAGGAAATTTCCAAACTATATGTTCTATTTTTGTATGAAAAGAAAAATAAATCTTCCAAAACTGCGTCATAACTGCTTTATATTTTTATTAATAGTCTAAACATAGTTTTAAGTTGCTGTTTTAAATGTAACAATCACTCTTCTTCACATGCCATGCCATCAAATGTCACTAGTTTGCATGGCTTATTGGGCTGTTGATTTATGTTGCTTTACAGCAGTTTAAATATACCATGCAAAGTTTGGATTAAAGAAAAACACTGACAGGTAGTGATTCCACATCTTAAAAAATTTAAACATCTGTTAGCAATTACCAAATTCTATGAATGGCATTGGTTTTTAAATCAATAGATTATTAGAGCAACATCTTTGCTAAGCCACAAGCTGGTTAAGACTCTTCAAAATGTTTATTAGATGATAATTGAGCTGTGTGAAAATGGAAAATGTCAGCTTAATTAAGTGACCAGTTTGTTATTTTCTTCTATTGCATTTTTGTTTGTTTTTTGCTGCACTCAGTTTCACAATGTTTCGTCTGAGCAATTGATTTTCTATATTTTATTTAAATATTCCAATGTTATTTTCTGGTGGATGTATAATTGATCATTTTAAATGATAGAAAAGTTGTAAATGTTACAGTTCGGCTCATAAATTATTAACTTTTTTGGATGCCTCGTGATATAATTGGTACTGTGTTGTAAGTTGTTAACTATTTTTGGGCTTTTTAAAGGTTACTTTAGAAATGGGTTTTATGTAAATGTGGGTAACTCTGTTGTATGCATTTTAATTTGGAAATTTGGAGGGTGTGAGAAAGTCATTAAACAACAGGAAGAGAGTAATAAAAATGGGAGGTGTGGTTTATTGTTATAATGAGCAAAGAAATAACAAAGATTCAGTTGATTTTAGAGAGCCATATTTCTCGGTAATAAAATTGACAATGTAATTGTAAAAAAAAAAAAAATCCCTTTTTTTTCTTGTTTGGCTACTTTGATTAAATTTTATTTGTTTTGGAAGTAGATGATCAACTAGTGATCAAGGGCAAAGCAGCACCTGTCACAGCTCTTAACAGCCCACCAGCAGGGGTGAACGTTGAAGAGGTCCATGTAATGTAATCCTAACTATTTCCCTGGCACATGGATAGTTATAATCCCCACCCAAAGTTTTAACTCACCATTTCAGTCTGTGTCAAGGCTCATTAGCTCCCACTGTTTTGTTATATATCCACTTGAATATACAAACGTATATGAAAAATGCATCAGTATTTTATATGAAAGTTTATAGTTTTAATTGCAGATTTATATAAAGCTGTACATAATTAATCCTCCTTTGGTAAATTATTTGTGATGCAATTCTTTTTTTGCATGTCAGCACTCAGCTGTGCCTCCATTTACAAGCATATCGTATTCTGTGTCCTCACTCTTAGCACAGTTTAATACCTTTTTAGGAGTTGATCATGCAAATTATCTGCCATCCAAGTCATCTACTTCATCCATTACTAAGGAAGATCCTGAGGCAGACGTTTAGTGCATAGAGCAGTGTGGATACTGTAACAGTTGTTAATTGTACAAAAAAACATTTATTTTCTAATTACTTTTCAATAATTCTCATTCTACTTTCTACAATACAACTTGTAGATCAAAGACGGACTCCTCTGCCCTCTAATGGTGAGTTTAAGTATTTAAAACTAAATTTTTTATATTGTAAAAAAAAAAAAAGGTCTAGATATGCAGGGCTTAACCTTTTCTTAAATCTACTGCACATGCAAAATTCTAGCAGTTAGCTTTTTAACAGCATACTGTGTTTCTGCCATCAGGCTGTTTGCCATCGCATGGATAAACAGTCCCACCCTATTGGGAGTCCTTTTCATAAGGAAAGATTATTGACAGATTTAACAAAAAATATGTGTAAAAATGTGTACAAGAAAAGACCTTAAACAGGAGGAGAAATGATTTTTGCTGGGGCGTTCGATCTGAAAACCTAAGTATGGTTCTGAGACAAAGAACGGCATATTTGCCTTTTAGTGGGAAGACCAGCACTTGGTATCTAAGGGGGGAGTTTTGCAGTAAAACTGTAATTGTAAAACACATCTCCCATCATATTAATGTTTAAAATAATCATAGAGCACACTATAACCAATGCTTTTGATATTATGGAGTTGTACCTTGATGATGAACAGCATTAAGTAGATTCAAGAACAGAACTGTGCTGCCAGCTCCTAATGAGAATTTAATTCCTGCCCCTGGCTGTTGGCGTACTATAAGGCAATCTCCTCACCTGTTTTATTTTTTTCTTTCTCCGTCTTAAAAACAATGAATTCCAGAAAAACTTACATTAGCAAATACCTTCCTTGAAGTCTGTCAGGTTTGAGATTGAGTGAAATCAGTTTGGAACGGAGGGTAATGAATGTCTGATTTTCTGGTTTTGCTCCGATTTGCTTAAGTGTTTCTGTTGCTAAATAATAATAAATAGAAATCAGAAGCTTAAAATGAAAGAGAAATTCTATTTTTTAAAAGTGTATCTCTAAACCAACAAACAAATATTTCCCATTTTATCCTTGTATTCCTTTTAGAATAATTTACCTCTCATTATGCTAGTTTTCCAAACACTTGCAAAATGAATGACTTCATGTTCTATGTTGTAGCCTTATTTATTTATTTATCTATCAATCATTTAACAAAGGAAGCATTCTCTGCATTAAATATGCATTAAAGTAACATTAAAATTAAACACAGTTTTACTTGCAAAACTAAATGTGGTGCCATATAGAGCTGCAGTTAAGCTCACAGTGAAGTTGTCTTTGCTCTGTTGGATTGTCAGGCATGAAAGATAATAAAGATTATCAATTGAAATATTTAATTATTGCATTACCAAAGCTGCATCAAATGATTTTGGGGCATTTCAATTTATAAATTCAATGGTTACAGAAATTTATATTGTAATTGCATCTTTGATTAAGATCGCTTAAACCTCTGGCATTATGCATCAGCTGAACATGAAGATAAAAGGAGTGAATAAGCAAACTAATTGGCTGAAATATAGAGATAGCAAAGCTAAAGTCGGCCTTTTAAAATTATAATCTAGGTGTGTTGTATGGCTAGAGCATATCACACCTCATATTTAAATCTTTTTTTATGGTAAAAATTACCATAAAACAGACTTGAGAGCTAATAAAACTAGACATCTTTAGATCTTCATCTCAAAATGTAACATTTAACCATTATAGACATAGGTTAAACATATTATGTAAACATTATTTTAGAATTCCTACACATAAAGCCAACAAATACACTGCTCTCCACAACTGCTATTGATTGTAAGTTTTTTAATGGGTCTTGAATGTCTCATAGAGCAATGTTCAGTCATGAGAAAAAGAAGAAAAAGGTATGGCATAACTGTAAACCAACCAAGCTATTCACCCAAAGTTAAGAGAACAGATCTAGCAGAAGCATCCAAAAATCTCATTGCAACTGAAATAGCTGCAGAGATTAACAGCTGGAGTGAAGAGTAGATCAAGAGGAAAACTGTCTTGCTCTCCACAAATCGGATCCTTGCAGAAAGTGTTAAACCAGGACCTGAGAAGTGTCACCTAAAACCATATGTTTAGACCGGCATGTGGAGGAAGGTGCTCTGGTCATATGAGACTAAACACATGCCTGGTGAGAATCTAATGCTACACATTTCTCTGAACACATTGTGAAACACTGGTGGCAGCACCATGCAGTCACAATGCTTGTTTTTTAGCAAGTACATAACAGCTGGTTAGAGTTGATGGATAAGACAATATTGGAAGAAAAAAGCTTTAGAGTCGGCAAAAGCTTCAAGACTGATCAGATGTTTTTAGATGTAGAAGCTGGTAGAGATATAATGCCCCCCAAAATTGTTTTCTGTGTGAGATGAAGAATTGTAAATCCATCCTCCTTGACTCAGTTCTCATCTATAACATTCCAACAAACTTACAGCCATTTTTCAGTTAATATCACAGTAGCTTTTATTAAAAAAAAGAAACTAAATCAGCACCCTGTAATTTGCTTTCGTCTGTTTAGTTTTTGCTGAGGGAAATCGTGATACGATTCTAGAACTGCAATGGTTCACCCTCCATAACCCACAACCCACAATTTCTTTTAAGTTAAAGAAATTGGGGAAAGCTAAAGACTACAGTAGCTATATTACAGCTTAGAACAAAAAATCAAAACTAGCTCCATCTTTAAGCCTTAATCACACTGACACTGGATCAGATATGACTTATCTGATCTTTGTCTTTTTGTGGTGAGTCTTTATAGTGAAGGAAACTCAGTAAGGTCACCTCCAGTGGAACCCAGAGCTGTGGAATCTGTGCGCTTTTTGACTCTTTATAGATGCAGAGAGGGAATGTACTTTCAAAGGATGGACTGTGATATTATATTCCACACATATATTCAATTTAGATAAAAAAGTATGATTTAATTTATAGTTTTCATTCAAATCGAGGTAATAATACAGCTTATTTGTTAATTATAAGCATGCTTAATAAATCCAGACTTATTTTTGGGGTGTACCCATACAGTTTTTATTTTTTTATTATGTTGCAAAGAGACTTTGTAGGAATCAGGTCAGAACTGTTTTAGTGTTGAGCAAGATAAATGGTGCACGTGTGTCCATCCAACCCCCTGGGACACAATCAAAGATAGAAGACAGGAGGTAAAGAGCAGACAGAAGGTTAGGAAAGGAGGCAAGAATTATGACTGAGAAAAAGGAGGAATCTTAAAGAGGCATCTGGTGGAGGTGTTTAAGGCAGCTGAGTGCTTAGACTGAAGCTCGGCTCTTTGAGGATTTCTAATGAGCTAAATTGGAGATGAGTGGGTCACCGACTTGGGATGAAAGCAGATGTGGACATTTAAGGTTAAGCACAAAACAGTATGGTGGTAGAGTAACTTCTATGTTTTAATTGAAGATTCTGAAACACCCAGGTTTGGATAGGTCACCCTTAAGAGCTCAGAAGATTGATCCACTGATGAATGCATTTGATTCTGGCTTTAACCCCCCCTGTGAGAGTATGTGTTTCAGACCTTTAAAGCACACAGCTGGTTAGAA